CACAAGAAAAATCCGCTTTAAGATTGAACATCCATGGCTGGAAGGCAGTCCTGTTTTGGACTACCCCCTTGACCGCCGAGAAGGCGCAGAAGCTGGAAGCGTCCTAGCCAGGAACCTTGAGCTGCTTCTGCCAGGCGGACCCATGTACAGCAGGATAGTGCTGGAAGCGGAAAACAGCATGTGGGCCTCGACCAAATACACCTTCCACATAATTCGTGTGGGAGAGGCCCTCTCGCTGTTGCTGGCCGGCGAGGTTTCTTCGCATGGGATGGGCATGCCTGTCAAGTTCCAGGAAAAGCGTCGATGGCTCTACCAAAACCAGCATCCGGAGTGGTACGTGCCAGCCCTGGCTGAGGAGAAGGATGCCAGATTGGAGATTGAGCTCCGGCCTATTTGCTTTGCACCCCTTCAGAGGGCCACAGAAGTGACTGCATCGCACTCATCTCTCGTGCAGCTTGCCAAGCAGTGCCTTTGTGGCAACGAAACCGCCGGTTTCGGCACAGAGTGCCTGGAAGAGCAACAGGTTCTTCCACTGCATGGCGCCTCGTACATGTCGTGCCTCTTCCTGCGCAAAACGAGCGACGAACTCCAAATTGACCCTGACAAGGGAAGCCTATCTACAGATCTGGGCTTGGTGCAGTGGCTGCAAAACCTGAACGAGAGCTGGAAGTGGGCAAAGCTTCGGTTCAATCAGCTCCATGACTATCAACTCAACCGAAGCCTTGGCGCGGAGACGTTGCTGTCCGCGCAAGGTGGCACCGGGCGCAAGATCTCAACCACCTTCAGCATTTCATTGCCGGCCTGGGCGATGTTGCGGAGCACCCAGCTGGAGATTGCAACAGCCTTGGATCCAACAAATGACGCTCGGAATCAGGCCGTGCCATTCCGGATCGTGCCACGTGCGCCGCCCTTCGAGTTGACCACCCGGCATGGGTTTTTCTTGCCAGACTATGCCATGGAGAACCGTCGGAGCGAATACATGGCCTGCTACATGTCAGACCTAACTCATGTTCAGGCCTCATCGCTGGACGCGCGATTTCACGTCGAGGATCAGTTTCTTGAGATGGGCACAGATTGCCTTGGCCACCCAGTGTTCCAGAAGCGCCTTTGGGCTGTGCGCATTGAGCAGTGCGACTATTGCAGCCGTTATCAATTTTGGGGCGACCTCTATGATGTCGCCGTGACTTTGTCACCTGAGCGCTGCCTGAAGGAAGCGATCGACTTAGGCAACCTCACGGCTTTGCGCATATTGGAGGAGCGGTGGATTTTCAACAAGGGCAAAGAAGACAGATGTGGCGTCTTGCAGATGGCTGTACGCTTGGGCCGTTTGCAGCTGATCCCAGATCTGCTTAAATATTGGGATAGAAATTGCCCTGGTTGTGACGAGACTCCTTTGGGTGTCGCAGCAGCAGTAGGCAATGTGGACGCCATCCATATGCTAATCAAGAACCAGGAAGTGAGAGTGGACACGATGGATGCACATGGCCGGTCGGCACTCTTTCGAGCCATGCAGGGTTGTAACCTTCCAGCGGTGAAGGAACTGATTGAGAGCAACAGCAATGTGAATCTCTTCTGGCCCCGTACGTCCTGTGCTCAGACCAGCTCATTTAGTATCACGGGCGCTCAACCCCTTTAGATCGATGGTTTGTTGTGATTTTTCTTCATCGTCGTTTAAGCATCGATCCCAGGTGCCTGACTCCTTTGCTCTCGATCTTTGCCTGCGAAAGGGGAGACAAAGGGAGCCGTCCTTGTTGGACCACGGACGATGAGACAGCTTACTTTTCAAGACCTCATGTGGTCCAGCTCATCAAGATCTTGCAGGATGCTGGTGCGAACCTCTCTGTGGCAGATACTTGCCTGGCATTCTGTATCAGAGGGTGCCTGTTACGTGTGTTTTTTTGTGCTACGTAATGCGGTACTTTTGATCGCGGCCCCGCCTTGCCTTGATGGACTCAAGGGAAGCAGTTTCCCCTGAAATCAGCTGTCGTGGCGAACTGAGGCTCAGGGTGACTGCAAGCCGCAGGCAGCACTCGTGAAGGATGGGCTCCACCTAACTCATGCTGAGCCCAGAATCTGGACCATTCTTATTGTGCACTAGAGCCCTGAGAAGGAGATTTGCTTCGTGTGAGCGCAAGCTTAAATTGGCGGCATCCCGACTCTGAACCTGGAATGCCCTACAAAAGTTGTTATATCATTATCATCTCGATTAATTTTTAACGCTGCGCGACCCGCCTCGGCCTGGCCCAGTGCAGCCCATTGAGCTTGTGGAGCACGCAAGCGCGGCATGTGCAAGCGCTGCAACTGCTCAGGGTCAAACAGTGAACACATTTTATCATAATTAGGTGTCGAGCACTGTAGTCTTCCTCGGGCGTGGCGGGCTTGTCCCTCGAATGGCTGGGATGGGGGGGGCTGGGGGGGGGGGGGGGGGGGTCCCTGTGTGTCAAGTCCAAAGCTGCCCTGGTCCTGTTGTGCCGTCCGCGCCGCCGCCCCCGTTTGCCTCGGGGTACCCATTGCAAGCAAAAAAACGCAAAAGACAGGGTTGCAGAGGGGATTAAAGGTGGGGTGCCTGCTTTGTGCCACCCATACACCTACGGCCCGAGGCCTCGGCGGATATTTTTATGGTTAGTATTATTCTTAAACTTGGCCAAGAACGTTTAACATTGCCAGCGCACCGGCTCATGTATGCGTTCATGCTTGGATTTCCGGTTGCATTGCTTTGCGTCATGCCTTTCATGATGCGGTCACAAACGAAGCTTTTTGCAGCAAGGCCATCCAATGTAGAGATCTTCTGGCGGTGCCACGTCTGCTAGAGCTCGGGGCAGATCCCAATGGGGGAGGCACTTCTGGGGCCGCGATGATGTTTTCAAATGCATGCAGGAGTTTTGCTTGAGATAGGAAATGAAAGAAGCGCTGCGTGCTGGAGAGCCTTGCGCTAGAACCTGCTAGACTGGCATGTTCTCATGTTTGGACAAGAAAGAACACCGTAGATCTTCGCGGGTGCCTGGCGCAAGACTGTACCTTGCTTGGGCGCAGGCCAGCATGAAGGAGGCGGGGTGAGCCGACCTCTCACGGTCCTTGCCGACGAGCTCTTTGTTTGCAATTGAGTATTTGGCGACAGGGAGAACACGCACTTTTTTTGGGTGAAACTGCCACTGTTTCTGGTCATAGGGTCAACATGTGTCCAAAGCATGCACTGATGGTTGATGTGGTTTGACGCTTGGTCGTGCCTGTGTCGAGAAATTGCCAGATCCCAAATCACAAGTTGATGTAGCTTCAATTTGGCGGCACAAACCCAGCAAGCTCCTGTGTGCTACAGCAGCTGAGGCACTTGAGTGAAAAAAGCATCGACTCGACAAAGTTTGCCGAAGTTGCCAGGCTTTTGCTCGATTCTCGCGCTGATGTTAACTGGAAAGGAAAATATGGAATGACCGTTCTGATGCAGGACGGGGCTTCTCAGGGCCAAGGTACTATCATTAACGCTGTTGTTGTCAATGTTCTTATGGTTGTTATCATTGTTATCACTACTACTACTACTACTACTACTACTACTACTACTACTACTACTACTACTACTACTACTCCTACTCCTACTCCTACTCCTACTACTACTACTACTACTACTACTACTCCTACTCCTACTACTACTACTACTACTACTACTACTACTACTACTACTACTACTACTACTACTACTACTACTACTACTACTACTACTACTACTACTACTACTACTACTACTACTACTACTACTACTACTACTACTACTACTACTACTACTACTACTACTGCCACTGCCACTGCTACTGCTACTGCTACTGTTACTGCTACTGCTACTATTCACATTATTGTCATCGTGCGTTTTCTCGTGGATAGTCAGAATCCAATTCCGTGCTTTGTTCCGAAACGCTGCTTGCAATTCTGAAGCTTTTCACTGACAGCGATAAACTCGTATCGCCGACTTCCTTTAGTCACATCAAGGTCTCTTGCTGCCCACTTGAATACTTGGAAGAGCCGTACGTAGGCAGCATGTCAAACTTCGAACTCTCAGGCCTCTTGCGGCAGATTTTTCGATTCCTTACAAGTAACCCACGTAGGCCCTGGACGTACGCAGGGCCCCCGAGCATGAAAATGAAGTCTCCTGTTGCCTAACGCGAGAACATGTAGCCAGCATGCAATGCTGACGAGAGATGCAACCCTGCATGGACTTGATGCCTGGGTGAGGCAGCAGACAAATGTCGGCCTGACGTGGTGAAGCTCCTCCTGGACAATGGCGCGGATCCTGCTCTGGAGGAGCCGTGAGTCCGTGAGTACTCAAAAGTGTAACTCGGTATGTGCTTGCAGTTGTCATTAATCTTGATCATGCGCAGAAAGCTCTGGAGCAGTGCTAACTGCCGGCTCTACGGGTGTTGTGCTTGAAGCAGGCGAAGTTATCGTCATGCATCCAACCCCACGGACCCTGCAGCCTGCAGGATGACGAGGGAGACAGGGCCATGGACTTCATAGCAGATCCAGAATATCTCAGAGAGGAATGCGAAGAAGACGAGGAAGGTCTCAATGAAACTCGCCGCCTCTTGGAGCAGTATAGCCCAAGATGAATGTGAGCAGATGCATCGGTTTGGGCCAGGGAGGACGGCTACTTGGAGCAAGACTCACATGGCTCCAAAGGTTCCAGAGACTCTCCAGCCTATGGTTCATGAAAAAGGTTCCGCAGATCCATGGGCGGCGAGTCTGGCTGTGGCGGCAAAGCTGCCACAAGCAGGAGCAAAAAGAGGCGCTTGTTTTGGTAGCAATGATAAAGGTAGTAATCATGCTAGTGATGATATGTTGTTCCAACAGGCATTACCAAGTACTTTTATTGGTTTATCTCATACTGTACAGAAGCATGGAACAAACCCGAAGCCCTAAATCCCAAATCCCAAACCCTAAGCCGCAAGCCTTGAGCCCGAGAGTTTTACCACGGACGAGGCTGGCAGCCCAAGCCCAGCCCTTGTCCAGCGCAGGAGATGAGGCGATGTCTCAGCCGCTGGTGGTTGCGCTACAACGCAGCTCGGCGCCTAAGCCCTTAGAGCCCCTTAAACCCCACACCCCAAATCCCAAACCCTAAACCCTAAACCCTCAAAGCTCAGCCAAAGGCTGCCCGAAGCCCTTCAACCCTAAACCGTTTTCTGGGTTTCGAGCCGGCTCCTTCTCTCTGCGAAGCCGCAGGCAATGGCGCCGCTTCATGTGGAGGCCCGGAGTGGCCAAACTACGACTATCAACCGTCTGACTTACTTGGGGGTTTCCCAAGATAAGGGGTACCACTAATATACCCCTAGATACTATAATCCTTATTATAGGAACCCCAAAAGGCTTTCAAAAAGGGGACCCCTATCTTCGGCAACCCCCAATTCAGGGAACACGCAATGCAAGAAGGGGATGTTCTTGCACATGCTACAGCCACCCGTGCTTCAGCGTTTCGTACACAGATAAGTATATGGGACATGTATAACATGTATAAGCTCAACCTCCCTGAGCGACCGTAGTGCTGTAGTGAGGAGAGGGGTGCGGTGGGTGTGCTGCTCATGCTTGCACACATACACATGACGCCCAATGCATGGCTGCGTGCCACAATACTCGACTCGGGGAACTTGGGCGGGTGGAGGGCGTGGGGATGAGAGTCATCAATGTTCTACACTGAAAGAATCAAGTTGGGACACGAAAACTCAACCAGTGGCTAAACGTTTCCTGAACCCGTGCTTTCCGAGTCTGTCCTTGTCCAGTTTGCTGTATCGGCGCTTGCCAGTTTCGGAATCTGCTGTTTCCAGCTTCCCAAATCTGCGATTTTCCCAGCTTCCATAGCAACTACCTCAAATGATTACGATTGGCTTCTGTGCGTTTGTCGATGTTTGCTTATAGACCTCCTGCACATATTGTCCATCGCAGGTGATTCTGTTTGAAAGTGGCATACAGCCAGACAGGTGCAGAGAATACCGATTTTTCCAGGGAATTGATGAGCAAGCCAAGGCAGATGACGGGGTGCGGGCGTGGGGCCGGGCGGGGTGTGGTGGGGGACGGGGGTGTGGGGAGGTTCGGACTGTACTTAAAAATGCTGAGAAAGGGAAGTGCGCTATGCATGATGTCGCCACGACCCGCCCACCAGTCTCCGGAATGGAGGCAGAGCTGGCCGCTTGTGAGTTTCGCCGCGGGGGCGGGTGCCCGCCAGAGCGCAAGGATCCTGACTGGATGAGTGTGCCTCGGCGTTGAACATGCGATGAGAAGCCCTCAGGCTAAAGCAAGCGCTCAGCTAGCTGTCGGCCGAGAAGGCGTCAAGAAAAGACAGAGAGCCGCTACACACAGGCATCAGGAAAAGCCGAAAAAAGGGGGGGGGGGGGGGGGCGTGCTTTTGCTGAAGCCAGACGGAAGCACTAAACAACAATCAGTCCCAAGCACGACGTAGAAGAATACCCAACTGAAGTCCAAGACGGACACAAGCCCAGCTCTTCGGACATCCTTTCCTCTGGAAGCCTTGAGAAAGAGCCAAGCAAGATCATTCCATCCCTGCTCGGAGAAGGCAGGGGTATGGGCTTGGGGCTGAGAGTTTAGGGTTTAGGGTGCGGACGGCTACGGGGCTTACAGGGTGTAAGAGGCTTACGGGGCGTGCGGAGCTTACGGGGTTCTCGGGCCCAAGGAAGTGGTTTCGCTTCACCGCTCCATGCGTGATTCGCCCGCTCCCGCGCCGGGTCTGGACGAGACTTGGTGGCACACACTCTTGCGGCCAATGAGGAGCTTTCAAAACCTTAATACTACGAACATTGACATTGGTATCTTGATATTAGTCTTCTTATTACATATATATATATATACAAATATACATATATATATATCATATATAGTGTATGAATATTTGGCAATAATCTTGCGGCCTATGGATGCCCCGATGTCTGTTCTGAGGAGCATCTGACTGAGCCTTAGTACCATGAATATTGACCTTGTTATAATTGAGACTAGTCTTCTGATTATTGCTAATATCAAGTCGCAGTATCTAATATGCATGTTATGAATGTTCATGTCAGTGTCATCATTTGCTTGGATCCTCGTTTCCTCTGAAGTGATGGCAGCTTCGGCTTGCCTTGAGCATTCACACCGTTGGGTGCAGCATCGGAACTGGATTTCCCAACACACTGCTTGCCATGCTGCTTACCGCTGAGACCCACTGGATCGGGTCCAGCGTGGCAGCATTTGCAGCGGACCCTGGGCAGAGAAAGTAAACTTTGTGGAGATACAAGAAGAGCAGGGACATGGGAACCTTCGTGCCGTCCTACAACTCTAAACCCCTAACCCTAAACCCTAAACCCCAAATCCTAAACCCTAAACCCTAAACCCGAAACCCTAAACCCCCCTAAAACCCTAAGCCCCAAACAGAGCAAGCAAAAGCAAAGCGTTGCTCTGACTGAGGAGGCCCACCTTTGGCGCGGCGAGCTCGAGGAGGCAGTGCTTCGGCTCCGGAAATCGGGCGAGAGATTGGGTTTAGGGTTTAGGTTTAGGGTTTAGGGTTTAGGGTTTGGGGTTTGGGGTTTAGGGTTTAGGGTTTAGGGTTAGGCCCTCAGAGGAAGCTTGTCTGCATTTGTGGGTCTGCGGTTTGGGGTTAAGTGTTAGCTGGCGTTGCGGGGCGGTTCTGTTTTCCAGCAAGCTCCCAAAAACAAGAAACTCTAAATCCTAACATCCTAAGCCCAAATTTGTAAACCCGAACCCCCATTTCTCGCCCTCCTGCTTTTGCAATGAGGTTGCTGCAGCCACAGCCCGTGCCACTTTTGTAAAGAGGGTGCTGCAAGCGGACACCCTTGGACTGAAGAAGGTGGAGGCTGGCGCGAAGAAGGTTCAGGGTTTAGGGTTAGGGTTTAGGGTTTAGTGTTTAAGGTTTAGGGCTTAGGGTTTAGGGTAAGTGGATGTCCGTATACGTGTACATGGACACTTTTAGACTGCACCCCCTAAAAGGCCCAAAGGCCCCCAGAACTCCATCTCTTTTAGTCAAGACCCGGCATGGCGCCATGCCGCGTCCAAGTCGTTGAAGTGGGAAGATCTGGAATCGACCATCGGGATGCGGGGATTCCAGGGTTGTTGGTTTTGCAGGCCATCCATCCACTTTCCCTAACCCTAGACCCTAAACCCCAAACCCAAACCCAAACGATGCTCAGCCCTTCTCCGAACATGGAAACTAGCACACATGACAGACAGCAAAGCAACCCTCATCCATAGCTCCCGGGCTGCGAAGAGTTGCAGCAAACTCCGAATCCGTCTCCGTGGCGGGGTGATACTCTGGGCTTGAGCTGTGTATCTGCTCATGTGCGGCTGGTTTTTTTCTGCTACCCTCGTTGTCCACTCTTGCCTTCATCCATTCTGAACAATGAAACTTTCTGGGACTTGAGCAGGCCTTACATTCACACGCTTTTCTAGGCTCGTTGCCGTTTGGGTGTTGCAGGCGACCCGTGAGCTTGCTCGCCGCATGAAGGAGGAAGAGCTCTGAGTCTCACTGATACCTTTGTAGGCAGATGTTTTCAGCATCAAGGGGTGGACGGGGCAGCTTGGCAACAAAGTTTGTCGACCGATGCTGCAAGTTGACAACTTGCAAAGGGCCATTGAATTGTTTCTCTGAGTTTCACTGGTGAAAAGGGCTACACGTTCTTGTCATGCCTGCTTTGTCCCCCTGACCCAAGACATAGGACTCGACCTTCTCAGTGGATCCAGAGAGAGCCCGAAGCGAAGCCACAGTAAATGCGAAAGCTCGGAAGTGTTTGAAAGCTAGCCGGCTCTGTTCTTATCTCCTCCATGGTTATGCACGTGCTGTTGCAGAAGATAAGTATGGCTACGCTTGCGCGTTTCAGCTCGCGGAAGCAGTGTCTGGGTTCCATGCATCGGTTTGATTTGAGTTGATGCTGATTTCTGGGCACTTGGGGCCCAGGCTGCCCATCGCAGCTCATCGCGAGTGGCTGCAGTGCTTTCACCATGCCGCGCAGAGGACACCTTGCCCATGCACACATTACGTGCCAGACACGTTATAAAGCGCCGGGTGTCTTGACTAGCACCAGAATATTTCGCCCAATCATCCTCGTCACTACTCCTCTGCTGCCCCAGTGCCCCAGGATCAGCTTCCTTCGGCAGCACGCCGTCAGCTCGGCTCTGCTGGCTGTTTGCGCACGTCGCAATCCTGTGCACCTTGCTCTGAGGCGCTGAGAGCCTGCATTCAAGCCGGGGCCTTGATGGGGATTTCCACGTCCATAAGGCACGAACCACGTGGCACGATGATAGCACCAGGGTTCGTGGTGGCAGATCACACTCAGAAGGGGCTACAATGTGTAGGGGTTGTAGGCATGTAGTGGCTCCCAGCAAGTATCAGCGTTGAGCACTTTAGGACGCGCCGACGTGCACAAAGCGCCGTAGCCCAAGCAAACGCCAGGCTCATTGCCACATTCGCCGTGCATGGTTAGCTTAGTGACTAGATTTAGGTCCGAGCTCTGGGCACCCTGGCTCCTGAACTACGAGAAGGCCATTCGAGGGTTCATTGGAACCGAGAAGTTTCGGCAGTTTTCCACGTTAAGCGAAAGAGACGCTGCGAGAATGGTGGCTCCAGCATCGCCACGGCTCTTGCACGGAACGCGTGAGTTGAGTCTTCGACCTCTGAGCTTTTTTTGCCAATGTTGTTACCTCGACCCAGAGTCTCTAAACCCTAAACCCTAAGCCCCGAACACCCTAAACCCTAAACATCCCTAAACCCTAAACCCTAAACCCTAAACCCTAAACCCGAAACCCGAAACCCGAAACCCGAAACACTTAAAACATTAAACCCTAAACCCTAAAGCCTAAACCCTTAAGCCGCTTCAAAGTGTTTCACAGGAGCTGCAGGAGCAGCGCTGTCGACTTTCAAGCCGGGGCGAAGGACCGCGGTGACCTCCAACTTCTGCCTCTGCGCCCTAACTCCCCTACAGCCCTAAATCCCTTATAGCCCTAAGCCCTAAGCCCCCAGAGCCCTAAGCCCCTACCCCGAAAGCCCGCAAGCCCTTAGAGCGCCCCCTCTTGACGTTTCGGGGGGGCGGTTTCGGGGTTCAGGCCGCGCTGGCCGGCCGGCACCGGCACCTTTTCCATGCAGCGGCCTCCACATGGCAGGAGGTGCCAGAAACCACCGAGAACCCCCAACGGACCGAGACCCGAGATCCGAAGCCCTGAGCCCTTGCACCGGACAGGATCGGATAGGCTACAGCGGGCCTTTGGTAAGTTCTGAACACTTTGTGCGTTGTGCCAGGCAGCGTGCATGACACTGGCGTGCGTCGCGGCAGGCTTCCTGCTGCACATTCGCTGTCTGTTTGTCTGTCTGTCCGTCCCTCCGTCCGTCCGTCTGTCTGTCTGTATCTCTCTCTCTCTCTCTGTCTCTCCCTCCGTCTCTTTCGTTCTGTGCATGTGAGATCGCCTGATGCGCCTGCATGGGATGCAGCCGGGAAGGCGGCGCAGGCACTGATGCACTATCACTACATGTTTACGTCTCGAGCTCCTTGATTTTGAGTTCCTACGAGTAGTCGTGTATTCGAGTTTGGGCGCATTCATTTTCTGCAGAAGCGACTTGTGCTTCAATGTGCAGCGTGCAGTCCAGTCCATGGGAGGAGCCATCCAAGCCGTTGTGTTTCACATGCCCATTCTGGCGAGGACTGTGATCGGGTGCACTAGTTACTAGTTACCCATATTATTGAAGTAGGGTGTATACTTGTAGTACTGTTGGTGAGAATGATAAATGTTGGGTGTCCTTTTGGAGATAAACCCAAAACCCAAAACCCTAAACCCTAAGCCCTAAGCCCTAAACCCTAAACCCTAAACCCTAAACCCTTCAGGAGACTCTGAGAGCACGGCCACCCCCGAGTCCACCGCACATGCGCACTTCAATGGCGGCCGGACAAGCCCGACGAGGTGCGGAGCCCTGTGTGACTTAAATGGTGGTTTAGGGTTTAGGGTTTAGGGTTTAGGGTCTAGGGCCTTAGGGTTTAGGGTTTAGGGTTTAGGGTTAAGCAGGACCCCAATAAGGTACCCCTGTTCTCGTAAACCCCCCAAATTGGTATCTCACCCAAAAGTATACCACGATGATCGTTCCCCCAAAATGTGCTCATCCGTGTCGTAGGGAAGCCCCGGAGCCCCTAAACCCTAAACCCTAAACCCTAAACCCTAAACCCTAAACCCTAAACCCTAAACCCTAAACCCTAAACCCCCAAAGAATCGAGACCTTCAAGAGAGGTCTCCCAGCCCAACGAGATCGGAGGCATCGGCAGTCGGCAGCCCAGGTCTTTGGAGAGTCAGAGTTCTTGAAGTAAAGCTAGCTTCTGATGAGCCCTCAGGGCCGTAGACCTGCGGACTATCTTCCGCTCGCCAAACAAGACATGGAACAAGACATGGAACAAGACATGGGACCCTTCGCAGGAGAAATCCGCAGATGGCATCCATTGGTTCAAGGCGCATGGTAGGGTCTCCTTTCTCTAAGTGTAACATGGGGTATCAATATTGAAGTGTGTTGTCAAATGACATTGCCAACATCTTCTCAAATACAGGAGATGGTTCAAGCCGTTTCTTCTGCCTGCCGCCGTCAGGCGCCAGAAGCGATGCCGCTGAGACCGAGCCCGAGCTGCCCATTCTGCTTCCTGTGGGGTTTGCAAGCAACCTTCTCGGGGTCCTTATTGTATTCTTAAAGGGGGATCCTACTATTCGCGGGTCTATATTGGAGACCCCTTATTGTCGTCATTTTTCATTCTTTAGTCGCTCCTCGAAGGAAGGCTCACGAAGAGACAAAGCGAGAGAGAGATGCATAAGCATATGTACAATACACTGCATTTCCCAACCACTGCAGTCTGGGTGTCCCCTAAAACCACACTATAGGAAATAGTCCGCACTAAATAGCTATCATCGAAATATTAGTCATAATAACGTACTTGTAAGAATAGCCTTAATTTCATACTTCTGATCACCAGGGTTACTAAGAGGGCCCATGGCTTAATCACCCCCTCGCTTCCTCCCTTTCCCGCAGCATGCGAACCAGCTTCTTTCAGAGAGAAGTTCGAGAATATAGTTTAGAACACAGATTGACGCAGCAAGATGCAGACTTCTTCGGATTGTTCGGGTGGCAGCACTGGAGGAACGACTCGCACAGCACGGAGTGGCAGGTGCGCTCAACATCAGATGCTGTTTACCTCTTGACACCCCTCATCTCGGGAGACCGCGTCGTCCGGTGTGTTGCCAGGTCGCCGAGGACGAGGGCGGCAGAGGACAGCACCTTTCTCTCTTGAAAGAGGGTTTCAGGTCTATTGTGGGGCTGCAACCTGTGGCAGCGGAAGCATCGCGGTCCAGGCGATGGCGCCCCTGAGCTCGCCGAGCCGCTTCGATGCTGGCTTCTGAGTACCCCTACCTGGAGGTTCATGGTACTTATTTAACCAGTATAAGTTTAGGGTTTAGGGTTTAGGGTTTAGGGTTTAGGGTTTAGGGTTTAGGGTTTAGGGTTTAGGGTTTAGGGATGGTGAATAAGTGCCATGAACCTCCAAGTAGCTGGCATCATGGCATACCGGAGACTGGCGGTTGTGGGGAGGGCAGCTTGCAGGACCAGCCATCGAGAAGGCGAGAGCAGCTTGCGCAGGACATTCCAGGGTTTAGGGCTTAGGGCTGAGGGCTTAGGGCTTAGGGTTTAGGGTTTAGGGCTTAGGGCTTAGGTTTAGGGTTTAGGGTTTAGGGCTTAGGGTTTAGGGCTTAGGGCTTAGGGTTTAGGGTTTAGGGTTTAGGGTTTAGGGTATTTGGCCTTGTTGGCTAGAGCCGGTCAGTGTGATGGCAAGTCCATGTGCGGGTGCAGGGCGGGAGTGTGCTGTAAGATGTTGGTTTGCAGAAACACTCGAGCAAGGAGACCTTCCTGGTCACTCCACTTAGTGGTCGTGCTGGGAAGGCCAGGACGTCAAATGACACTGAGAGGTAACCGGCACCGCATGTCGCGCGATACCCCATGTCTACATACGACCACGCCAGCCCACGGACCTCGGCTTCGTCGGACCCACTTGGCCTCCAGTCGCGCGCCGTCCACAGCCAACAGTGTTGGGTCAAGCACTTTCAAGCTTTGGGACTTCCCTGTTGCACAAGTTCCTTGAGTCGGCGTCCGCCGTAGCCGATTTTTTTTCTTACATGCTGTCTTTTGTATTTTGAACATTTTGTCCCTATACGTTTTTGTACTTTCACAATACCCTGGTATACTTGTGTAGTATTGCATGCTCATACCGCCGTTTTTTTTTCTTCATTCTTGTTTTATACATCAAGGTCACCGCGGGTGCGCAGCTCCGCCTTTCCGCAGTCCCTGCGCCTCGGCTGCAAGTTTCGGGCCTTGATTCGGGGTCGCGGCGCCGCTGTTCGAGAGACTGGTAAACTGTGAACTTATTTTCTTTTAGTAACCCTAAACCCTAAGCCCTAGGCCCTTGTTGTATGTCATGGTGAGGTCACCACCGACCGTGTTTGCACCGGCATCGTGATGGTGATTCAGAATCGTTGGCTACTCGTAGCTGTTGCTCTCGGACCGACAAGCCCTACTCAAGCCCCATTGCGCCCCTAGAGCAAGCTGCGCAGCCAGCCATTGTAACAGAAGGGTTTCACTCACCGAGCGTTTCGACGTGATCCAGGGCTGCCTGCGCGTGCACAGGCAAGACAGGAACACGGCTACACATGCGCATTGGACAGCCCTGGTCTTCTCCGAAGCGAAATTAAGAGATTTCGAGTTGTCCGGGCTACAACAGCCAGACAACCCTGGCTTTGCCACGAGGTGCTCGGCAGCCGCGGTGGTACAACAAGAAGAGCATGTGAGTTCTTGATGTGATGGTCCCTCAATACGGACCCTCGTACGTAATGAGCTACCCAAGAAGGAAACAACAATGAACTGACCGTCTGAATACTGAGGCACGCGGAACTGGCATCGTTAATTGGGCCTCCTGGCTCAGGGTGCACACATGCAAAGCAGTATGCACTATTTGGTATCTTAGTATATCACGATGTTGTGATCTTATCCTCTTGTTTTGGTACATTCTTGTTGTTTTTGTATTATGAAGCATGAACATATCACATATCATTGATAGCCCCCGCAGGGGCCTTGTCAAGAGCTCCTGGCAATGTTTGCCTCGGGACATGTCGCCCGCGGGATTCCCAGCACAGTTTGCATTGCCTGCTCATGAAGACTGTGAGAGTATAACGATAGACTGATACCATGACATGAGTAGTGATAGAATTGATATTCTATCATGGTAAGGCAGAGTACTAGCATCACGTATACATGATACCTACCATCTGGTCCAATAGCAAATTGCATACAGGCTGCGGGCCCCTTCTAGACGCCCTGGGCGCAAGCCTCGGGAGGAGGCCTTGGACAACCTGATGTTGATTTTTGATTCTCATTTGTTTCCCCTTTATCTTTTTAGAATGGTTGATTGTTCTAAAGTCAGAGCTTCGGTGCCTTGAGCCCCTCTTGTACTACTTCTGAGTGACTTTCCAGATTTCCCAGAGCAGTTGAAAACGGCCGATTGAAACCGGGCGCCAGTTGGCCGAAGCTGGGTGGCTGCACCATTGCTCGGAGATGGATGCCCGAAGCTCAGGGGGGTGGATCGAACATAGGGTTTAGGGGTTCAAGGATTATGGTGTAGGATTTAGGGTGTAAGGATTATGGTGTAGGATGTAGGGTTTAAGGATTATGGTGTAGGATTTAGGGTTTAGGGTTGGGTGGATCTCTGGGTGTCTTTGCCAAATTTTCTGGCCCATGAGGCGCGAGCGCCCGCGGCCATCCCGCGCAGGTGAAAAGGTGCTGTTGTGTATGTGTCAGCGTTCGTCTTAGCTCAATGTCCACGAGTACTCAATACCCCGAGTCTTGTGGTGTTGGATATTCTGATCAGCTGCAAAGATGTCAGATTCTGCAGGCGCTGGCTTTGGAAGCTACGCGCACAAAGCTTGTCTAGCAGAGGATGTGTCAGTCCAACACTAGCCCTCGCATCATTGTCTGCATTGGTACGTTAAAATACAAATCCATGCGAACAATGAGCTTGTGATGGTTATCGCCATCCGTGTTAGCTTTGCGAAGTTTTCGCAGGTGTTCACAGTGGATAGCCCGATCGCTGGGAAGTCCAGCCCCAAGAGCCAAGTGGGCAGTGGGGTTGCTCTGACTCACGCCCGAGAACTTTGCGCATCTCTGTGCTCCCCCCATTGGCCAAATTTGTCGTGTTTGCAGTGGTGCGTTTGTGCTGAGTTCAGCTCCGACTCCCGGTACCACCTGGTAATGTCGGATTCACTTTGACCCCCCCCCACGCCCCCCGCCCCCCGACCCCCACCCCCCAAGCAAAACGGAAGGACTGCCAGTGACTACCGGTTCAGAGCCCCTGTCCCCCTCCCCTGCCCGGTATCAGGCCGAGGCCTTTTTTAGCCAGAAAGCTGCTGAGTAGTGTGAAGGTTTTGGGTCATCTCCCATAGATCCAGTGATGTGCCTGGCGATCCCACGGCACCCTTTGTGCAACCTGTGACGTGAGGCAGTGGCCTCCCCTGGATCAGGCAATGCAGAGCTCCTGTTGTCTTGATTCTGAATCTTTTTTCCGAGTAGTTTCCGAAAGATTCAGGGTTATATAACGTTAAAAACCCTAAATTCGAGTAGTTTTCCGAAAGACTCATTGTCAAGTGTCAGACTGCAGGTTGGAGACCCGATGACCCCGCAGCGCTGCAGGGACATCATGCACCAGCTGCATCTGCAGGACCAGGGCTCTGGCGCAGGTCTTTCTTTGTCTGAGTACTACCACCGTTGGAGCCTTTTTTGGAATGCAGGAAATCGAGAAGATGAGGCGTCAGCGGTCGTTCCCTATGCCTGAAATCAGGCCGGAGCAGCGTCGGAAGACGGCCGCGCGCTGCGGGCGGGAGTGGGCCGCGTGAGACGCGTGCATTTCGATGAGCCTCGGCAGGCCGGGTGATCTCGTGGAGGTGAAGTACGAGCTGAGCCGTAGCTTGGCAGGAATCTGCAAGAATCAGCAACATGCAGCAACATGCAGAAGGGTGTTTAGGTTTTAGGGTTACGGCTTAGGGTTCATGAAGCTGTAAAGGTCGGAAATGCAAGGCGAACCTCTGCCAATGCCAAGGCAGCCAACAGACCTTCGCCGTGTTTCAAGGCGTTGCCTGGAGTTGATGACACGGGGGTTTACGAAAATAAGGGACTCCTTAATATGAGACCCCAAGTAGTAGCATTCCCTTATAATAAGGGACCCCCGAATATAAGCCCCCAAATAGTCGGTAAGGTACCCCTAGTTTCGGACAACCCCCCCCATGTCTGTTTTTTCTGCATCCGAAGCGGAGGCAATGGTTGTCGTGGACAACTGTGGACATGTCGTAAAAAAATGGGGTCCCCCGAATCAGTCCCCAGCTTCTGGTAGTACGGAAATCCTGATGACAGGAGCCACCAGAAACGGCACCCAGATGTTTTAACTGAAAATTGCCATCTCCGGCTGTGCAGGCTTCTGCGTTGAAGTGCGGAACAAGTTCCTCAACTCCGGCTTTGTGGCTTGGCCTGGGAGCTCCCCACCTACCGAAATGTAGGTTGCTGGTACCCGTGTGGAGATTCTGAAACCTAAAGCCCTGCACCCTTAAACCCTCAGCCTGCACTGCAGCTGCAAGAGGGTAAGTGCAGCTAAGGTCTTAAAGAACACCTACGATGGAGTGGGTGTAGAGCAGTTGGTCCCGCGCTATTCGCCCAGTCCCCAGCGAAAGATGTTGAGACCATTCTCGCAAACTTATCCCAGTTATCGGCCCTCTAGTGCAGCAAGCCTCACAGCTCAGACTTTGGGGTTTATCAAAAGGTCCCACAAAGGGCCCAAGTTGAAGAACCCCTCCCCCCTGCTGCGACTCACTCCTGGAGGCCGCGAGTGCTTGGGGTTCGCGTTATCCAGGCACTGAAGCCCAGGCTCGTGCTCTTCGTGGGTCCTGCAAGACTTAGAAGCCTTGGGCATAGACTACATTCCGGCGAGGTTCATGGCCCCTATTTTAGCCACATTTGGCTGACCGAATATGGGGTTCTAGTTGCGTAGGGTATATGACAGAATCCCAACTTGCGTCCTCTTCATTCGGTCCCAACCCAACTTTCGCCGCTACGTGCTGTTCGCACCAGCGCTGGCGCAGGTCCGCGAATGTTGACAAGCGACCGTGGACCAGAAACTACCGCTCCTTGGCCAGAAAAGATGGTGGAAAAGACAGCAACACAGTAACGTGTAGAGGAATCGCAGACTGAGGTTACGCCTGGCACTACTTCGTGCGTCTGGTGCTCAGAGTTCCGATCCGCGGTTCGGTGCGCGGGAGAGCGCTTCAGAGGCGGCAAGTACTCGTGGGGCAAGCGCCTTCGCTGGCGCTTCCACACTCCGCAGCGCCCTGGCATCATGCGCCCTGGCAGCCTTCAGAAGCATGGTCCCCCAGGCTCAAAGTGAGAAACGAAATGCAGAAACAAGGTACCTGCTCGAAGAGTATAGCCAAATAAGATCATAGCGTTGGACCTGTAAGACGTCTAGCAAGGCTTCCTGCTCATGCCACGCCACATTCTGTGTGTTATCCTAATCGGCCTGTCACGCGTGTGGATACATTTACATGACCACTTTAGGTCTCTGGAGCCGAAGATCCGCCGAGAATTGGCAGCAGTGCGACGACGGTATCAGATGCAGCGCAAGGAGGAGAGGGAGAAGTTCTGTGTCATCCATTTGGGATGTTCCCCCTTATTCTAACAGTCCTTACTGTGGATTATTGTACCCATGTTCTAATCCCCATTAAGAGCTGTTTGAATAAGGGGGAACATCCCAAGTCATTCTGCATGCGAGTAGCGCACTAAGAAGAGCACAGCGTTTGAGTGAAGCACGACGTTGTTCAGGCGCGCTTGCCGCCGTACATCTTTCCTGGTCCGTACCACGTACCTAGGTGGCACGAATATGTGTGTGTGTGTGTGTGTGCGCGTGTGTGGTAGAGATGTTGCCGAGCCGTTGATTGCAGTAATGGATGTGGCTTGCTGTAGTTTTGGCTAGGGATGTAGCCAGATGACGTGGCTTAGGTCACGCGACGGCAGACCCGAGAGATTTCGGCAGAGCGCTACCGCCACTGGGCTGCTTCTCAACCTCTTCGGCAGTGGTAAACCCTAAACCCTAACCCTAAACCCTAAACCCTAAACCCTAGACCCTAAACCCTAAACCCTAAACCCTAAATTGGAGTTTGCCGTTGCCATTAGAAGGTGGTCTTCGCATTGGTACTGGTGCAGAGTCTACACAAGATCAAGGGATCCAGGCCGGTTGCCGGACGAAATCCAAAAAGAAAGCGCGAAGGACATCTATTCATGTCTCGATCGCGCCAAGATCCCTTAGATAGTGTTCATGCCCCGACGTGAACTGTCAGTCTTGGGCAGCCGCGCCTCCCTCACTGTCATACATGTCATCCCGGAACCTCAATGTCACAAGCGGGTCGGGGGATCGGATCCCGTTTGACAAACATGCCTGTGATGTCTGAGCTGAGGTCGAATGCTGATCTATGCGTGGGATGAACGACAGCAAAGGGAAGCCAAGAAGAAGCCTGGCTTTGTCTGAGTTTGTCTGCCAAGCCGTTCTAAGCATTCCAAGCAATTGCCCTCGTTCACAGTGGCACAGTATGCAGAGAAATCCACAAGATGAACATATTGTATTTACCCAGGAAGCGGCTCGCCGACAAGCACCGCTGGGGCAGGTTCAGGCATGCATTCACTCGTCCTTTCCTGGTATCTTTATTATAGAATTTTCTAAGCATATTTATGTTTATATCATTTTCTTATTGTTGTTCTTATTATTCTTATTCTCATTCTTATTGTTTTGATTTCTTATGTTCATCTTATGATTGTTATTATTATGATGATGATTATGATTATCACTATGATTATTATGTGCTATAAATTAAATGATGTGAAATACTCTTGGGCTTCAAGCAGCGTGCATGCGAAGATGACCTGGAAGGATCGACAAGGAGCCCAAGACGACGGCCTTGTCGGAGCTGCCAAGCAACTTTGCGCGAAACTTCAATGGGGTCTAGGGTTTAGGGCTTAGGGTTTAGGATCCAGGGTTTAGGGTTTAGGGTTTAGGGCTATGCCTTACCTGTCGGAGCACGGCTGAACACCCAAGCATGAGCTGCACTACCGTCCCAGGCTACCATCCTCTCATGGACAACTTGCCCAAGTGATTTGCCTGACAGAGCCCAGAGGGCCACTGCTGCCGGCAGTCTCAGCATAGCGTCTTGAAAAAGAAGGGTTTAGGGTTTTATAGGGTTTAGGGTTTAGGCTTTATAGGGTTAGGGTTTAGGGTTTTGGGTTAGAGTTGACGTAAAAGCACTCACATTCCATGAGTTGGGATTGGGGTCCAGGGCTGAGAAAACCTGCCATCCGGGATATGCCGCTGGCTTGAAGCAGGGAGGGCTTGGCGCCGAGGGGTCAGAGTGGCGCTCTGCCACCCCCAGGTGCCTTGCAGACTCATCTGGGGTTTGCGGCTTTGGGGTTTTGGGTTTTGGGGTTTGGGGTTGGGGTTCGGGGCGTTGGGGTTTAGGGTTTAGGGCTTGGGGTTTAGGGTTAGAGTTCTAACAGCAAGAATGCTGTTCGACATGATAGCAATACTGAGAACACGGGTACTAACAATTACAGACGATAACAAAGCAACACCACGAACACCAACAACACCACCAACAACTAGAACCACAGCCAGAAGAGCACAAACATGACAAAGCTTGCAGCCAGTGCGTGCAGGCTGAATGCCATGCTGAAGCCGAAGAACATCCGGTTCCGAGCACTTGAGAAGGCATCGGACTTCCCTCGCTTGCTCCGCACGGCACTGGGACCCCCCCCCACCCACCTAACTCCTACACCCTGAGCTTTGAAGCCTCCACCCTCAACCCTAAACCCTAAGCCCGAAAAGGTTGCATCTTGCCGGCGCCGGCAGGTCAAAGTCCGACCGCGCAGTTTGGTGCAGATTTGCTTGCAGCGAGTGGCAGAGAACTTCCTGCGCCGCCTGATGGCAACCAGAGCTCTTGTCCGAAGCATCGTCTCAGCTTCTCTTTTCAAAACCGCTCTACCCGCGTTGCCTGTGGAGCCCACCCCCCCCCCCCCCCCAGGCCCCCTTACCTTTTTGGGGGTGTTTGTGGCCTGTGGAGCTGAGGATATGACAACTTGGGTTCCAAGCTGGGGCGAAAGCAGCTCGAGGAGATTGCGGTGCTTGCGTTGCGAGAAGCGGCAGATGAAGTGAGTGACCCTTCGTGAACCCTAAACCCCTTTGCACGCGCGAGGGTTGAGGGTTTCGGAACTCTGAACCCTAAACCCTAAACCCTAAACCCAAAACCCAAAACCCAAAACCCTAAACCCTAAACCCTAAACCCTAAACCCTAAACCCTAAACCCACAACCCTAAACCCTAAACCCTAAATCCCCTCAACCCGAAACCCCAAAACCCTCCAGGATGTTTATGCCATGCTGGACCTCGACATGCCTCTTCCAGAAGCTGCGCTCAGGAGCTGACATGGTTTAGGGTTTAGGGTTTAGGGTTTAGGGTTTAGGGTTTAGGGTTAGGGTTTAGGGTTTAGGGTTTAGGGTTTAGGGCTGAGGAGCTGACATGGCTATTTTTCACCGAGAGAAAGTTCGGGGCTTGGAGGTTTAGGTTTAGGGTTTGGGGTTTGAGGTTTGGGGTTTGGGGTTTGGGGTTTGGGGCTTCGGGCTTGGGGGTTTAGGTTTGGGGTATGGGGTTCAGGGTTTAGGGTTAGGGTAGGAACTTATCAACCTCTTTCTGGCAAAGTTTCGAACAGGATCAATGACGAGAGCTATTGGAAGAGGCGGACGCAGGCTGAACAGTGGTGCTTCAGAGAGGGCCCTCGGCCTAAACCCTGAACCGCCATCGCGGGGATCGACGATGACTGTTGATCCAGTGCATCTGGGAGGCAAAGCACCCGAATGCGCAGGTTGAGAAGCTCGAGCCCTAGAGTGTCGGGTTTAGGGTTTTGGCTTTAGGGTTCAGGGTCAAAGCAGATGTGGAGGGTGACCAAAAAAGGCCATACTGTAGATCAGCGTGACAACCTTCCATGTCCAGAGTCAAGAGTACAGACATCAAGATGTATGGTTCAGGGTTTAAGGTTTTGTGTCAAAGGGTTTTGGGTATACCAGGCATGGAATGTCGTGGAAGCAGACATACCTGGAGCCGAGATCTCAGAAGTCTGAGCCGTCAGCAGTTTGGGAATTTGACGAATCGCTTAGTGGCTTTGTGTGTCATGCCATGTACTCTACTGCACTGAATGAGACCAGCATCCTCTCCCTACCTCAGGATAGAGTTGCAAGAGGCGCTGGAGCGGGTGCCCATCACCGTAGAGTGCGGCACTTTGCATGACTCCTGCAAGATGGAGACGAGGGACCAGGCATTCACAACACCAGCAGCTGAGGTATGGGAACCCAGAGCTCGAGGCGTTGAAGCAGCAAGTCATGGCTTCAAGGCTTTGGGCTGCTGGGAAGGGTCCGGTCTGTAACAGTAGGTGGAAGAGAGCTCCACGGGGTCCCTGACAGGTTGTATGTCTACCAGCTTCAGATCACCCAGTTTCCTTCCCATCTGGACCTGAGCTGAGAGACCACGGGGGCTGAAAGCACTGCTGCTCACTCGCATTTCGAGCCCGCCGTGCCCGCTGCCCTCAAGGATCTGAGCTTCATCTTCGACGCCCTGCCCGCACTGCTGATGCCCCAGCGGGACAGTCGCATCTTTCCACTTTTGCTAGCTTTGCACAGAAGAGACGGAGCAGGTGCACGTTCTCTATCACCTATGGCAACAAGCGACTCGGGATGGAGTACGAGCGCGCGATGTTTGGCATGAAGATCTCAGATGCCACGGGCTTGGTGCCTTAAGTGGAACAGCGCGGTCCGCACTTCTGTTAGATTACAGCTCTTCTAGAGCTTTTGCAGCATGTTGCGGCTTTGCAGCAACAGCTTGCCCACAAGGCTCAGTACCTTGCCCGCGACATACGCGTGTCGCAAACCTTGGTCTCGCTGTCCCTGCCGTGCAGGGCTGAGCTCAGCTAAACAGCAACAACGGTGAGAGTGTCTCTTGCAGCTATGACCAGGGCAGCAGCCGCATTGTGAGGTAAAGTGAGGTGTGGCAGCTTCACAGCGCTTTCTCCGCAATTGTTGGCCGAGAAGTCAATCTTAGGTGCAACATGATTGATGATGAGCTGGTCAAGGCCAGCTGTGAAAGCTGTGAGACAGCAGAAGGACCAGAACAGCCGGACAACACGATGCAGCAGAGACGGTTTCGTGCGCGTTTGGTCGACACATCGTGTCTTTCATGGTGAAGTTCAGTTTTATGTTCGCTTCTTGAATGCCTACGTGTTCACGGAGCGACGCTACAGTGGTAAACAGGTGTTGATGGGCGGCCTTTCCTACGGCCACATGCTCACGCACCTTGATCTCAGCGCCGGCCTGAGCTCTTGAGTCGTGATAAGCCCTAAACCCTAAACCCTAAACCCTAAACCCTAAACTCTAAACCCTAAACCCTAAACCCTAAACCCTAAACCCTAAACCCTAAACCCTAAACCCTAAACCGTGGCAGTTGTCAAGATACCTGAGGCCACAACAAGATTGGGGACCGAGGGGCACGACGCTTGGCCTCTTTGTTGGATCCAGACTATTGCTTGCAGGCAGGGGATAGTGGATAGCCGCTGTACCTGTGCTACAAAAACGTGTTGCGCAGGCGCTAGATCTCAGCGACAATCAGATCCATGCCAACGGTTGCATGCATTTGGGCCGGATCCTCAGAAAGACCTGGGCAAGCTCTCTCCACTGTCGTTATGTGGGGTGCCCTGAGTATATGAATCGGAACTCCGCAAGGGGCCGCCATTTGTATTTTCGCCATGAGCTTCCTGATCTGCCAGGTGCTCACTTGGCGGAGAACATCACTTGCCAGGCCTGGCCGAACGAACACTCACTCACAAGGAGTAAGCGGATACTCCCTTACTTAGGCTTCTGAAGGGCCCCTGATACAAGGGCCGGACACTCCCCAACTTAGGCTTCTGAAGGGCCCCTGGTACCTTATGACTGGGGCTCAGGTGCTGAACCTGCGACTGAATCGCTGCGAAGACAACGGCGTGTCGCATCTGTTTCAGGACGGTCGTGCCGCGACTTGGGTTTCGCATCTGTAAGGTTCCGCGCAATCCTAACCCTATAATTGTAAACGCTTGCGCGCCGCCTCGGCAGCCGGGCCGGCCCACAGGAAAGGAGGAAAGAGGGTCTCAAAAAAAGGGGAGGGGGGTTCAGAAGGGTCTCAAGGGGGGTGTCAGGGTGCGGGGGGGTGTGGGTCAGTGGGGGTCCCAGAAAGGGTGTTCCAAACCCTTCTCGGCAGGAAGCCGAGGCTAGGTAGCAGACGTAATCGCACCACCCTGGAGAGACCGATGCCTGTGAGGACATGTGTGTGAACAAGCACCTGCAGACCCTGAACATTGCGTGCAATGCCAGGGACTTTAGCGTCATAGCACCATAGTACGGTTGCAAACGCCTTGGTGCTGAGGACTTGACGGTGAGATGTCTGCCCTATTTGAATGCCATGCCCACGTCTGAGAGACAGCACTGCAGCACTGTGAGCCGGCTTTGGCGACATGCGGCATGATACCCTTAACATGGCTCAACTTAGGTTGGCTGAGAACAACACCCTGTTGGAGTTGGACGTCAGCGCAAACCCGTCAGGTCCTAAGTTATCAGGGGGGAAAAGTGGAGGCTCACGGCGACATCGCTTGATTGACTGCGCTTTGCCCGGACAGGATGTGGTGGGCCCTTAGCATAGCGCAGCGTGGCGTGGCCGTTGTCTGTATTCTGGATGCTTCCAGATGTCTCTGCGGTCCTCCAACGTGCTTCATGGGCCTTCTGCGTGGCAAGTCATGGAAGCTACACAAGCAGATCATCGAAAACCAATCCCAAATTCAAAGTCTCATGGAAAGGCTAGAGAAGACGAAAGTAGAGCACCGATTGGAGAGAGAGGGCAGCAGAAGCAACCTAAGTTGTGTTTGGGAACAGCAGAAAATCAGAAGCCGGCAAAGATGTGTCAATCCTCAAGAGCACCCGAAGTTTAGGCTCAGGCAGGAGTTCTCAGAGACCCCCGCTCTGAGAGCGCCACGACGTAAGGCTTCATCAAGTTGAAGAGGAAGTCCATCAAGGCGCCCTCTTCTTGAGTGCCGACTTAGGCCAAGTAGGGACCATCATGACGAGAAGCTGGCCAGGTTTTGTGTGAGCATTCGGTTGCCCCAGGATTGCAGCCACTTACGCCCACCCTGTGCATGCTTACGCGACATCTGAGAGTTCGCTTCGCCCAAGCTGTGGGATTCGGCACGGTTGGCCCTTGGTAGCTGACGCCCTTGCAATCAGGGGGTCAGTTCGTTTAGAGGTCTGAGCGCCTGAGCCCTAAACCCGAAACTCTGAACCCTAGACCCTAAACCCTAAACCCTAAACCCTAAACCCTGAACCCTGAACCCTAAACCCTGAACCCTAAACCCTGAAACCTACACCCTGCTTGTGCTGTGCAGTGGTGACACCAAACAGTGTGCAGAGGTGCAGTGAGCGAGTCCGTGCCTCCCCTGAGTGCAGAGGTGCCGGAAAGTGCCAGATCGAGTCTGTTTGCAGAGGGTTTGGAGTTCAGTAGGGTCTAGGGTTTAGGGTTTAGGGTTTAGGGTTTAGGGTTTAGGGTTTAGGGTTTAGGGTCTAGGGATTTAGGTCTTCGTGGGGCCCCTTCCTTTTATTTGCGTAGTGCGACTGGAAGGCGAAGTCGTGCCGAGCCTATGTTCCGGGCTTCTTCATCCTCAGCATATCTTATGATGTTTCATGAGACCCTCAGTCTTGCGGTGTTACCGTGCTGTGCACATGGTTTTGGGGTCGTTGCCTCTCCCGGAATGAGTCCGAAAGCCCCTCATGCCGTAAAATAAAGCATCCCAAAACCATCTTCCCAACCCCCCGCCATTGCCGTGGAAAGGTTCAGTGGAAGCCGGCAGGGATGTTTCCGAAACCATGTGAGCCTCATGTGTCCTTGTAGTTTGGCTGCTCAAAACCGCTTGCAAGAGCTGTTCTAAGGCTTCTCAGCCCACGGCGGGCCCAAGAGAAGCCTGTAGTGCTTGTAGGGATTCCTCACAAGGCTTGGTAGGGTTTTTTGTTCGCGCTTCGGGTTCCCTAAACCCTAAACCCTACACCCTAAACCCCAAACCCTAAACCCCAAACCCCAAACCCCAAACCCCAAACCCTAAACCCAAGCAGGGCTCGCGCGCAGGCCACCTCCGAGGCGCTGGAGGCCACGAAGCCATCGGAAGAGGAGGATCCTTTGGAAGGCGGCTTGGAGATTTCTTGCTTTGGAGAGGAATGTTCGTCTAAGCCTTAAACTTGAGACTCAAACCTCAAACCCGGCGCCCGAAGCCCTAAGCCCTAGGCCCTAGGTCCTAAACCCTACACCCTAAACCGTCGGTGCTTCTCCTTGGAGTCTTTTTCCCAGGTCTCCAGGTGTCTGGTCAACTCGCAGTCTTTGCCCGCTGCCTGGCAAAGAGCCCCTCGTTGCTGCGCGGGGAGCCCAGGACGGTGCACGCAGCGTTTAGGGGGTTTAGGGGTTTAGGGGGTTTCAGGGGTTTAGGGGTTTAGGGGTTTCAGGGGTGAATTTCAGGGGTTTCAGGGGTTTCAGGGGTTTCAGGGGTTTCAGGGGTTTCAGGGGTTTCCGGGGTTTCAGGGGTTTCAGGGGTTTCAGGGGTTTCAGGGGTTTCAGGGGTTTCAGGGGTTTCAGGGGTTTCAGGGGTTTAGGGGTTTAGGACACTTTCGGTCAGAGGGCTCAGACGTTCGCGCTTGCACTTCGCAGCTTTCAGGCGTTGACCTTCGCAGCTGTGGCCTCCCCGCAGATGTTGCCCAGCGAGTCACGACGGTCAGCCGGAGTAAGCCACGAAATTTTGCGGGAAGGGTGTAACAGCTTACGATTTCGTAATGTAGTGTATACAGTATGGCACATGCGCGTGTGGGGCTGGCTGCGAGTCTTCCCTGTTCGCCGGAGAGTGCCAGGGTCATGCTTGGAAGCATGAGATTCAGGGCACGGCTTTGAGAGAGCGTGCGCGTGTAGGCAGTGAAGCATCGTGAGCTCATCGCAAAGGGAATCCCAGTCGAGGCCAGCGCATGGAGTCTTACTGCAGTTGCGTGATGGTGGTCTTAAACTAACGTTAAGCTTCGGTGCAGGCTTACGAGAAGGCCCGCCAAGCTGCAGTTGCAGCTGAAGAGGCAGCCCAGGCAGCGCGCGAAGCTGCAGAGAAGGCAGGGACCTGGTATTTTGTTGATCCTTGCAACCTTCCAAGGGACGAAGTTTATGAAACATCGTTTGCCAGGAGGAGCAGCTGGGAGAGGGTGAGGAGGAGGAAGGCGAAGAGAAGGCGAGAGCGAAAAGGGGGGAAAGCCAAGCGCACAATGACATTTGCGGAGTCTCTGGCTTCTGAATTCAGGCTGAGAGCAAAGTCGAAGGAGAGGAGAAGCCCGAGGGTGAAGCCGGTGAGAAGCCAGAGGCCTTCGAGTCATGAGTCGGAAAATGGCCCCCCCAAAGGCCCCCTGAAGGAGAAGGAGGTTCTAGTGCTTTTTCTGTGCAGGGCGAGGAGGAAAAGAAGGAAGGCGAGTGAGAATCCAGGAGGCACCAAGAGTGCCCTTATGCCTTATGCCAATTCCCAAAGCTGAGAGCCCCTGAAGGGGCATGATGCACTGTTTCACACCCTACTGCATGTGGCAGCTGGCTAAACAGCATTGAGGGCTTCTGCTTCAGTCTGTCCAGAAGTTGATGCATCTGCTTCCATGATGCCATGCGACGCCCTACGAAGAGATTACGAAGAGATCCTTGGCCTTCTGCGTGTATGATCCGCCCTGCTCGTCTCAGAATTTGCGCCACCTGCTGGAAAAAATCGGCACTCAACAGTGCGTACGAATTGAGGAAGGCAACCCTGTGTGCTGTGCATTGCCTCGAAGAAGAGACCTTGTCCACTTTGCAGCACACGCTGGCTCCAACACAAGGTGTACGGTGCATCAGGACGGACCAACAGCCCGAGAACTACGGTAGAATCTTTTGCTCAGCTGAAGAGTCATCCAACTTGCCTCTAACTGACTCAGCATGGCTCCTGCGCAGGGTCTGCAACAAAGACAGCCCATGATCATGCATGACCAATCATCCTAGCCAGCAGCGAGTGTTTTGATTGCCACCCAGTCCCTGCCTGTCAGCAGAGCACCTCGGAAACCTCCATGGCCCGTATTTTTCGCGCCTAGTCGGCGCCATTTTCCCAGATGGCACCCATCGCCTTCTGTGGCACTGCGGCGCCGAGCGACTATCGCGGCAGCAACTTGGAGCGAGACTCGTCCAAGAAGCAGCACGCCAGCAACACAAAGCCTTTGAAGCTGAACAACAAATCCACTCGCTTCTCAACCTTCAGGCTGCCCCCCCCCCCCCCCCCCCAAAACCCTAAACCCTAAACACCCTAAACCCCCGCCCTTGATGCAGAATCTAAGGATGCCTGATCTGCTGCGAGGAGCGTGAGGTCCTCAGACCTTTGGGTCGTTCCATCGGGAAGGCAGCGAAGGCCGAAGGCGCCTCTCTCCTGGAGACAGAAGCTTCGAAGCCACGCGCCTGAGCTGAGGACCCAAATATGTGGCTGTGGGCCACTGTGGGCATGCTGAAAGTCTGTTGGATATGCATGATCAGGCACGCTGAGAGTGTCCGTTTGCATCGTTTAGAGTGGCGTAGTTGTGCTTCTCATGTCGTGTCTCACCGGAGTTTCATGAACGGGAGGTATGGGGCTGCCAGGGTTAAGATGCAAGGCGGAATTTCATTGCCTGCACGCAGGCTTCGCACCATCATGAAGGACATCAACTGTCCAGCCGCGGCGTCGGCAGAAGCTGCTGTGAATGCTAGCGCAGTTTGCGAGTCGGAACGCCTGCACAGGTCTGCAAAGTTCCCTTGACAGAGATATCAATCACACCAGACGGTCGAGCGCCGCCACGAAATTGTCCAAGAGACGACAAGCCGCTGGGAAGCAGTTTATGGCCACTGGTAGCTCGCCCTGGGAACCGTGGAAACTTGAAGCTCGTGAGCAGGCTTGGGCTTATCTACAGCAGCGCCGCCGTGCGCGAGGATGTAGATGGATTGACTCTTGGCGCTGAAATAGCTCGTGTATCAACCGTAAACTACAATTCTAAACCATATTTGTTTGTGAAGATAATGTTAAAAGAATTCCAAGAAAAGGTCGAAGTAGCTCTAATTACAAGGGCATGTCCAATGTGACAAGGTTTGACTACCGATGTTGGCAGCGGAGCTGCGCAGACAAAGACGAGTGCTTCCCCACCGTGGAGGAAAGTATCCCAGTTTGAAGCTTCTAACTCCAACTGTTTAGGGTTTAGGGTTTAGGGTTTAGGGTTTATGGTTTAGGGTCGTGGGTCTTGAGTGTACTCTGACAGGCACTTCAACGACACGTACAGCAAGTGCATCGGCGTCGCTTTTGCGGGACATGCTTGAGAGGCAGCAGCTTCATGCGCAATACCTTTCTTGGCACGAAGGCTCATGCCTAGGTACGTCTTTGAGCCGGGCATTACAACCCACCGGCCGGTGTATTGTGGATATGTTGAAAAGCAGTCAGATTTCTTCAGAAAGGGGAAACTTCGAAGGCTGATGAACAGTGACTAACATTCATGAAGTCCTGATCGTGTCCTGCAGGACGCAAAGTCTTCCTGTTTGAGCAAGTGCTTTACTCTCCCGACGACTTGCGAAGACACCATGAAGATGGTGACACGGCAGGTAGTGTGGGCAGAAGACTCGGCAAAAGCGGGGTGACTCATGGATCCTCAGATCATTAGATCACCATGTCAAGGCCCCGACTTACCAACGTGTCCGCCGCATGCCTCCTGCAGCTTCTGCAAGACAAGCTTCTACTCAGAAGAGGACCTTTGCTGAATCCCTTGCCGGCAAGTCCCACTTGCATCGTGCTAGCGTTTTTTTCAACTTGAGAGTCCTGTCCAGACTTACAGGATCTCTTCGAGCATATGCAGATGAAGCACCAGCCATGTGGGCTTTGTGACCCGACCCATGACTCGTCCCAGCTGCCGCAGCACACCCCTGATTGTACAGACTGAGGTGAGAAGCTGGGTAGAAAAGGTGAGTACTACCAAGACTACAGCTACCTGTCCTTGCATTACGAGGCGCGAGATCTTGCACAGCACCCAGCTTTTTTGGGGCGCGGAGACTTTGCCAGACCGTTTTTTTTTTAATTAATTTTTCTCTTTCAGGAGGACCACTATGTATGCAAGCATGAGAAATGCCATCGTGGCTCATTGCGACTCATGGCCTTCAACACCGAAGATGAGCTGCCTCTCGGCACCCGAGATGGTGTTTTTTTGTTTTTTCGAGATTTGTGGGGGGGGGGGGGGGGTACCTGACTTTTGGGTCCTATATGAGAAGGGAGTCCTGCTAGTTTTAGGGGTCTGTTTCGGATTTTTTGGTAAAGCGAGATGCCTGACACCTCTCGGCAGTTTTTTGCATCTTTTTTGGGTGCCTCTCAGGTGGATCCACGAGGTCAAGGCCAGACTCCTGAGCTCCAAGATAGGATCTCGGTGGAGGGGTGCACAGGGGGGGAGAGGATGGGCATGGTGCCCGGTTTCTTCGGGGTCTAAGATACCATGGGCCTCACATCTGTTCACATGTCCTCGCGGGCTCCCTTAAGCCTGAGTGGGGGGTTGGGGTGTTCTGGGGTGAGGCGCACTCCGTGAAGCTGTCGCAGAAAGCCCGGAGACGGATCGGGGATGAAGGCTCACCAGGGAGCATCAGAGAGTTGCCGTCTGATTAATACTATTGTTCTTCTTCGTCTTCTGATTTTTATTCGTACTACCATTATTGTTATTCTTAATATTATCTTTATCTTAGGAGGTCGTAACTGGTGCATCTGCAGGCTCTGCCGTAAACATCTCCATGGGGGCAACATCTTACCGCGAGGACTCCCTGCCCTTGCGTTGGTTTCAGAAGTTTTGAAGTGGCCAAGCTCGCTTCCTGTGGAAGCAGTTCGGTTCGTGACTTGCAAGTGCGTTTGTGAAGTGTCCCTACGTCTCTTCCTGCTTGCGCTGCTTTTGCTTCTTTCTCTTATGCCCCTGTGGGTTAGTTGCCCAGCTACTTGGAGGTTCATGGTACTTTTTGAGCAATTCTAATTGTACTTATTATTCGTACCATGAACCTCCAAGTATGCATGTGGTAGCTGCCACCCGGTCCTTGCAGTGTGTGCTGGACTCAGTGTTGGGTGGAGTGGCCTTGGGCCTCCACAACCCTAAACCCCAAAGCCTAAACCCTAAACCCCAAACCCCAAAACCCTAAACCCTAAACCCGAAACCCTAAACCCTAAATCACGATCATGCAGACTGCAGCTTCTCAAGGAGGAGCCCAAAGCAAAGGCGAAGGCAAAGTCAAGTCGCCCAAGCCGCTTTGATCGCTTGGCCGTTGAGCTGGCCGAGGCCGGAGAGCACAAATGGCCTTTAACATTTTCCCCCCCCTGTCCTACATAATTATGTATGGTATATTAATAATACCATATAGGATACCTTCTCTATAGACAGATGATATATGCACAGACAAAACCGTAGTATATGTATAGCTATGAAGCTTCTGGAAGCCTCCAGCACCGAGCCACTCGTTAGCCTAATGTCCGCCTGCAAGGCCTGCAGCGGAGCGGTCCGCTTCATGCGCCCTCGAGGGACGCCAAAGGCGCCGGAGGAGGGCGACTGGCCGAAGCTGGACAGAGGGTTTAGGGTTTAGGGTTTAGGGTTTAGGGTTTGTGGTCTAGGGTTTAGGGTTTAAGGTTTGGGGTCTAAAGGTTGTAGCCAGACGTAGGCGGACGTAGCGTGGCTGATTTAGGGTTGTTAGGGTTTAGGTATGAGCTTGCAGATGCCGCGAAGCTCACTCCCTCTTCATACCGGTGCAGAGAACGCCTTGCCAGGAGGGGTTGGGAAGCTCAAGCGCGGATGTGGAGGAGGACAATAGGTGGGAACCGGTAGGGGGCATGATGGGGTATTTCCCAGACGCAGGGGGCCGAAAAATCACAAAAAGGGCACTCCTTTTTTTTTGGGTGGAATCACCCCCCCCCCTCCCATGTCTGCATTCGAGGATTTATGCATCCTGTGCCCGTGTACTCTCGGGTCTGGGAGAGGTATCCTCCACGGCCGGTGCCCAAACCTCGAGCCAAAGCAAAAGGCTCGGCCAAGGCTGCCGACAGGCGGGATGCGGGGAAGACTCACCGGTGGCAGCAAGTGAGGGTGCCACGCCCTAAAACCCTCAACCCCAAACCCTAGACCCTAGACCCTAGACCCTAAACCCTAAACCTTCAATCCTAAACCCTAAATCCAGGCCGGTGGCGACATCCGCGACTCCGGTCTCGGCGCACCCGGCGCCCACAGCGCCTCCGGCACGACCTGCCGTAAGCGAGGTCCGTCTGCACAGTCTCCCTGGCAGAAGGTTGACACTATCAATATCAATGAGGTAGTATATGAATGTCACGACAAGAATACGGAATGTGTTATAATACATACAGCATAGAAAAGTTCTACAAGGTCGAGTATCGATTATCGACTATCTCTTTTGTACTAAAGACTGTAGAATATATCGGCATACAAAAACCATATATATATATATTTATATAAATGGTATATATAAAAATATATGTATGTGTGTAGCTACATAGTTATGTGTTACATGTTGTATGGTTCTAAAGCGCCTGACTGGTTCAGTGGAACCCAGCCATGGGTGATGCAGTCAGTGCAGGCCCATGTGGCTTTGGCAAATGTCCTTGCCGTGGCCGTGCAGCGCATTGATCAGATACTTCACCGCAAGTTGGGGGGTTTAGGGTTCAGGGTGGGTTTAGGGTTTAGGGTTTAGGGTTTAGGGTTTAGGGTTTAGCGGCATTGCACCGAGCATTGGGAATCTTGGTAGCTCGAAGCACCAGTGTGTCACCATCAGCTCAGCATCCCCAGAACAGACCTCCGAAGCCCTCAACTTTTTTGTCTCCTGCGATTTGGGCTTAGTGTTGGGATGTTCCCCCTTATACTAACAGTCCTTACAAGGGGTTCTAGTACCCCCCTATTATAATCCCTTTTAGGGACTGTTAGTATAAGGGGGAACTCTAGTTTAGTGTCTAGGGTTTTTGTCTTTGCAGAGCTGAGGACTGGCATTGACCAAGTGGCTGGCCTCGATCAGGAGGTGCTGAGAACACAGAAAAACGGAATGTGACAGAAAAGCCGTAAACCCCCTAGGCCTTGGGATGTTCCCCCTTATACTAACAGTCCTTAACAGGGCGTGGGGCTACTATGATCCCTCTTAAGGACTGTCAGTATAAGGGGGAACGTCCCAGCCTAAGCCCTAAATCCTGCGTTTAGGAGTATCGGGCGAAGAATCGTCGTTTCAAGCGCGACCTGGAGGCCTGAGATGTGTAGACCCTGAGTGGACTTGGCATACGCTCGGTGGAGTTCTGGTTCTGATTTCCGACTCAACCACGAGAAGCTTGGGGCGAGGCGCAACAGGGTCTAGGGTTTAGGGTTTAGGGCAGGCTTGGTCAGAAGGACGTCCATCCATTGTCTTGCATTCGGCGTCTCATGGCGAGGAGCAGCTTGGCCAAGCAGAGCTGACACGATTCAAGGACGTGCAGAGTGGATTCCATACTTGAAGGTTCAGGGGTACTGAACAAAGTCTACTTATGACCTATTTAGAGGGGGGCTTGTAAGTACAGTTATAATTGGGGTGCTAGGTACCCTGAACCTCGAAGTAGTTATCCTAGAGGCACTCCTTGTGCTCTCGGAGGAGTGCTCCATGCAGTACCGCCAATCCTTGCAAAATGGGGGCGGCCCAATAGCAGCGGAGACCTACGCGCAAAGGCCTACGAGCCAGATGCATACTGTGACACATTTGAGACCTCCTTCAGCTTTGTTCACGTCGCATTGATGGCTTAAAACTCACCATGCTTCAGGGTGGTCGAGGTCTTCACCACCACTTTGTCACGCTCCGGCCTCCTGTCATATGTTTGGTCAGGGATGCTTTATATGTCTGTATGTTTGTTCACTGATTTGTACAACATATGATGTATATGTAGTATTGTGTGCGATGGTATTATGCGATATACTATATTGTACCAATATACAGTATACAATAGTATACAATAGAATACAATAGTATACAATAGTATATACAATAGTATACAATAGTATACAATAGTATACAATAGTATACAATAGTATACAATAGTATACAATAGTATACAATAGTATACAATAGTATACAATAGTATACAATTGTATACTATTGTATACAAATAGTATACACTAGTATACAATAGTATACAATAGTATACAATACGAATTCAGATTGCTTTATCATACATTAGAAACAAAGCAATACAATATAGTATATCAGAACACAATGAAATATCATAGAACCAAAGTTGGAGGCCGAGAGGTTTCAAACTTGGGGTGGGGGGGAATAATGAACGAACGAGCGGCAGGAAAAGGCCAATGTTGTGATGCAAGAGCCGCCTGAATGAATAACAGCCCCGCTCCCCTCTTAAAAGGCTTGGTGACAGCAGTGATTGTGCATTTCATATTGTATCCCGAGTGTGGGGCTCATTCGCTTACTCACATCGCTCTTTCTACACCATTAAAAGACTTGTGAGTGAAGGGAACAACCATAACAACTGGGCTGGTACTACCTTCGTGTCTTGTTAGTATATAAAGTGTATCGCGTACATACACCACATACACAGATGTGAGTGAATTTATTCGCTTCATATGTATTATATATAGATATAGATAGATAGATATACATAGATGTCTCATGTGTTATGCATGATTTATATGTGTCGTTTATGCTATAATATCATGTGATATTTTGACACAGCTTTGGGCTCGAGAAAACACCGGCAGGCGCCACGACCGCCACGAACCCGCCACGAACCTCCAGGCAACGAACCTGCGGATAGCCTGCGAACTCCCTTGCGCACAAACCTTCCCAATCCTAAGCCTTAAACTTCAGTATCCACAGCTATCAAGCGCCTTAGCTTGAATACAACTTACCTGCGTTGCGAATAGAGTTGGTCAAAGCAGGTCAGGAAAACACAGGGATCTTCTAAGGTTTTCCCTTGCAAGGAAGATCCTATGAAGATTCTTTTGCTTTTCTGACTTGCGTTGGCCAATTCTATTGAGAAAAACACAGGGTAAATTCTATTGAAATGCTGTTGCAGAAGCGTGCAGACTTTACTGACACAAAAGGCTCTGCAACTGTGTCAGGTTCGAAGCTGTGCCTAGAACAGAAATCATGCGAACCTCATAAACCCCGACAAGTTCGACGAATCGTCGGCGGCCCCCTCACGGTACGAATGGGTGTCGTTACGTCGTTTCATCTTGAAACGTTGTCTATTCTACATGTCACATCTTGTACATTGTGCAAAAAAGATGTAACATACATAGATAAATAACTATATATCTATTTACACGTACATTTTACATATGCATAAATAAATAAATACATAAACATATATATATACATATATATATATATATCTGCTACCATAACTACTAAATAGTGCAATATACAACATGATATATTGAATATACAACATGTTATATTGTACATACAACATGTCATATTGTATAATATTATTTTCAATTCTAATGTATTGTATTATACTATCTGATCTTATCTTCTATTATACTACGACCTTTCGGCCGGCATTTTTGCATCCGCACAAGACTGGGTACTTGAGTCTTCCGAGCTGTAGTAAACCCTACCCCCGAATGCCCGAATGCATAAAGTCCGCAACCCTAAACCCCTAAACCCCTAAACCCCTAAACCCCTAAACCCCTAAAGCCCTAAAGCCCTAAAGCCCTAAAGCCCTAAACCCCTAAACCCCTAAACCCCTAAACCCCTAAACCCCTAAACCCCTAAACCCCTAAACCCCTAAACCCCTAAACCTCTAAACCCCTAAACCCCTACACCCCTAAACCCCCAAAACCCTAAACCCCAAACCCCAAAGACCAAACCCTAAACCCCTAAACCCCTAAACCCCAAACCCAGAACCTCTTTAAGGTGAGGCTGTGGCTGCCGAGCTCCTCTGCGACCTGGTCGTTCTTCTGCCGGAGCTAGACTAAATGCACCAGTGTTCCTTGCTGGTTCTTAGTTAGGGTTTAGGGTTTAGGGTTTAGGGTTTAGGGCTTAGGGTTTAGGGTTTAGAGTTAGGGTTTAGGGTTTCGGGTTTAGGGTTTAAGGTTTAAGTTTTAGGGTTTAGGGTTTAGGGTAGTAGGGAATGAGGAAGTTGGGCTAGTAGGGAATGAGGAACTATATGGTATTCTTAGTTAGGGTAGGAGGGAATTAGGAACTATATGGCATTCTTAGTTAAGGTAGTAGGGCCCCATATGGCATTCTTCGTTAGGGTAGTAGGGAATTATGACATAAGAAGTTGTGCTGAACCATGCTCTACAATATTCGGTAAACTTCGCCTCTTTTGTCGCACGCTGTCTGTAGAATAGTACATCAGTGGTATTTCATCGACGTCTCATGCCTTGTTTTGGGGGTCTTGACAGGACCAGGTCCCCCGTCATCTCCTCAGAGACGCGCTGGCGCAGCTGTGCAGCGAGGCGTGTGGCCGGCACTTCTGTGGTTCCGTGGCCTAGCCATGCCCATGTACTCGCGTTTCAGGAGGAGGATGCGGCTGAGGGTCAAGCCAGCAACTTCAAGGCACCCAAAGCAAAGGCGAAGGCAAAGGCAAAGACAAAGGCGACGGCGAAGTCGCCCAACGTCAAGTCCTCGGTGGCGCTGCCGAGGCCGAAGGGAACTCGCTGGATGTCTGTTGTTGTGGGTTTAGGGTTTCGGGTTTAGGGTTTCGGGTTTGGGGTTTAGGGTTTAGGGTTTAGGGATTAGGGTTTAGGGTTTAGGAACTTTGGCTGCCTTTCCCTTCCATGCTGCACTTGTGTCCATGGAGGCAGTTGAATGAGAAGGTTGAAGCTATCCCACTGAGCCGGTCAAACCGCGGAGGCGACGCATGTGCACACCAAAGTCATGCGCACATACATACATTCATACATTCATACATTCATACATTCATATAATTTTTACATTCATACATTCATACATTCATACATTCCTACATTCCTACATTCCTACATTCATACAGCATACACACATTTTATATGTATATGTATATGTATATGTATATGTATATGTATATGTATATGTATATGTATATGTATACGTATACGTATATGTATATGTATATGTATATGCATTTGTATATGTATATGTATATGTATATGTATATGTATATGCATATGCATATGCATATGCATATGCATATGCATATGTATATGTATATGTATTGTGCACAGTATATGCGTATATATATATACACACATAGATATATATGTACATGTGTATTCCTGACTAATGGCTCTTGATTCATGATATTTGGTTCTTGAATCATGATGTTAAATCGCTGTATGGTCTTGCATGACCATGTATGGATCATACACCAGCTTGTATGAAATGTGAGCCTTTACCCTCAACCCTAAACCCTGAACCCTAAACCCTAAACCCTAAACCCTAAACCCTGAACCCTAAACCGATACTCTCCTGACTCAGGGGACGGCAAGCCGAGCTTCTTGGCCTCCTTGGATGCCGTGCTCACTGCCGTGGTGGATGCCGCCATCGCCCCAAGTCGACTTGCAGGGATTTAGTGTGGTAAACCCTGAACCCTGAACCCTGAACCCTGAACCCGAAACCCGAAACCCGAAACCCTAAACCCTAAACCCTAAACCCTAAACCCTCAACCCTCAACCCTCAACCCTCAACCCTCAACCCTAAACCCTAAACCCTAAACCTAAACCCTAAGCCCTAAACCCTAACCCCTAAACCCTAAACCCTGAACCCTATCCAAGGTAGTCCCTTTAAGAAACCCAGCTGTGTGATTCCCATCTGACGCGCCAGCGAGCTGCTTTGCATCTGACCATACTCTTTGGCGCTGTTTGGCTGCTGTCGCGTAACACTTGCGCCAGCTGTGAGGCCGCAAAGGTGCCTGTGTCTCAACAGGCAAGCTGCGCTTTGTTCCTTTATGGCCAAGAGCCTGGGTTGCCCTTTGTGACATTCGAAAAAAGATTCCAGTCAGTGCCTGCAATCCCGCATCGTGCAATCTCTCGGCCAGGCTTTGCGAAGAAGTGTAAAGCAACTCAATGTTCCTTGGCATGCATGTCAGCCGACATGTGCAGCAAGAGTAAAAAACGTGTGCTCCGAGCTGAGGTGACGCAGGCCGGGCCGCCAAGCCTTTCTTGCCGAAACTCATGTGGGTATTTCCCGAAATAGGGGTACCCCTTCTGTACCCCAAATAGAATAGAATCCCTTCAAAAGGGGCCCCCCCCCCCCCCCCCCAAAAAAAAACCCCCATGTGGAGAACTCTGAGTTCCCAACGCTCCAGGCAGAGTCCCTGGAACTCTTACACCAGCATCTCCTTGATGCTGGTGGGTCGTCGCTGGACTACGAGCCCATGGACCGTCGCTCTGCCTGAGTTACTAGTCGAGCCTCGAGTTGCTGCATGTCGGATTTATGTTTTTTAACGGAGTCCGTGGGTGCAACGGGGCTTAGGGTTTAGGGCTTGGTGGTGAAAATCATGAGACCCTGAGCCCTGAACCCCGAAGCCCTGCAATCGAGGTCTGCTGGCTTTAAGACCGCTTCTGCGCCTGAAGCTTCAGGCGGGGCTTGGCCTTCCCACCTTCTTGTCTACACACATAATATCATGTAGTATGTGGCCAATATGAAAAAGGCAAATTACAAGAAACAAGTACATACAAATAGATAATAGCTATATATACGTAGATACCCACAGGATGTTCAGATATTTCTGCTTCCATAGCGACTCAATTTTCAGGGTGCTGCTGCAGCCTCTGGAGCTTTGGCAGCCGACCGTGCACGAAGCTGGTGGGAGTGGAAGGCGGGGTGTGTTGCTTTTGAGAAAGAGAAGGGAGGGTGTTGAGACCCTAAACCCTAAACCCTAAGCCCAAAACCCTAAACCCTAAACCCTAAACCCTAAACCCTAAACCCTAAACCCTAAACCCTAAACCCTAAACCCGAGAGCTTGGCTTGCTCCACACGGGACGTTGTCGGCTCAACCCTACATCCTTAACCCTGAGCCCTAAACCCTAATGGTCCAAGCTGCGAAGGAAGCAGCTGCCGCGGCATTGCTCAGACTGGGCAGCCAGGCAGCTTGCTTAGGGTTTAGGGTTTAGGGTTTAGGGTTTAGGGTTTAGGGTTTAGGGTTTAGGGTTTAGGGTTTAGGGTTTAGGGTTTAGGGTTTAGGGTTTAGGGTTTAGGGTTTAGGGTTTAGGGTTTAGGGTTTAGGGTTTAGGGTTGCGGGTTGCCACGGCATGTCTAAGGATGCTTTGAGTGTGCCAGCGCACGGGCGGGACACATCGTGACATCCGGCTTGATGTCCGAAGCGTAACAAGCGTAACAGGCGTAACATGTTTTCAGATCCACGACATGATCATGCCCATGGTTTCCTGCCAGCTGCTAGCATGTCTCCAAAGACCGAAGCCGGCCATCGTCAGCTTCCAGGAGCGCCAGTGCGTCCAAATGTACGTGTCCCTGTGCCTGTCTCATCTCTGCGAGCTCGAGTCTCGCCGGGCGCCCGAGTGTGTCCCAGCGCTGCGTCAGTGCTACATGCGGTTTAAGGTCTATCGCATGATTTACCACACGAGAAATCTTGAGAATCTAGTAGCACTGATATGTGCTGGTGTCTGCTGGTGTCTACTGTGGCCACTCATAGCTTCTTGAGATTCTGAGTGCCTTGATGCAAGCTGTGTGGAGTGCCCGAAATGGGCGGTTCCGAGGAGTCGCTCCTGAAGCCGCCGGCTACCCACAGGGAGCACCGACCCCTGCCCGGTCGAAGCCTCGTGCACGCGGCCCCCATCCCCTCCGAGAGCTCTTGACGGGCATCGTGCTCAGGCCCCTGGCGCCGGCATGGGAGAGGCCACGGCACCTGAAGGGCCCTACTTAGAGGTTCATGGAGCTCTTTAAACAATGAGAACTGTACTTTCTGACCTGATTAGGGCACTTGAGGGGCCCTTGCAAGTGGGTTAGAAGTACAGTGAGAATTGGTTAGTACGTACCATGAACCTCCAAGTAGCCTCACATGGCCCCATGTTGCATGTTTGCCTGTGACGCTGCGGAGGTCTCGGGCAGCGCCAGTGTCCAACGACTTCCCAGCCCTGTCAAGCAACCAGCCCCAGCCAACGGCTCAGTCAGACTCAGAACAGCCTGAAAAAACATAAATACTTATGTACATACATATGTGTGTATACATAAGAAAAAGAATATATGTATATATATATATATGTATATACATATATGCTAATCTTTGCAGCCAGTTGTTTGGTTGCAATGCAGCTAAGGCCACGGCCCAGACAGGCCAGATGTTCCTGAATAAGAGAAGAGGTGGATAGGGTTTATTGTTTGGGGGTTACATTGCATAGGGCATAGCGAGGTGCTGCCCCATCAACAAGTCCGAAGTGCTGTGTGGAAACACCTCAAAGCCAGCCTCAGACAGTGGCAGGCGCGAGCTTGACTTTGGACTTCGGCGGTGCTCATCGGGCCTGGCTGCTTCGAGCTGTGACCTGGGCCCCCTGCCCGAGGCCTCGAGTGCTATGCGGGGAATGTAACATCCCTTTGTCTTTGTCCCATTCAGCACCCCCGCACGGCCTAGATCGGCCCAGTAGTCTCAACAAGAAGCTATCAGCCATCATGCCATCATGTTCTCGAAAGCTGGTGAGGATGTCTCAGAATTTCATAGCAAAGTTCCGCAGGCACCTTTGAGGGAAGCGGAGGAAGAGATAACCTGGTGTGACCGGGGCCTTGCACTTGCAAGTCATTTGCAGTTCTTGGCGTGGTAGCTATGTCGTTAAGATGTCTCAATCTTATGGGCTCGACTAGCTCATCTACACTTAGTGGATGGTAGGCGGAGTGCCAAGTGACTTGCCCGCTTTCCGCAATACTCGACGCTGTGGCGTTTGTCTGCTTGAGGGCCGCAGGTACGCCATGATGCATAGGAGACACCTTAGTGACTCTCTGCGTCCGGTATGGTCCCAAGAGCACGCTGACGAAGGGTCGGGCGGCCTCCCCCGCAAGGTTTCGGAATTTGGGTTGCGTAGCTGCGAAGAGTGTTTAAGCTCCAAAGCTCCAAAGCGACCTTGGGAATCCGCCGCGGCTGAGATGCCAGAGGGGTTTAGATGCAGGCAAAGGGTTTAGGGCTTAGGGTTTAGGGTTCAGGGTTTAGGGTTTGGGGTTTAGGGTTTAGGGTTTCGGGTTTAGGGTACAGGCGGTCATTCCTAAGCCCAAGGCCGAAGAAGGGGAGCTCAGAGGCATTGAAGGATGTTTGGGGGGGGTGTGCTCGTGATTCTCCTCCCCTGAGGCGAAGAGAAACCACTCGACATGGTTACCAGTAGCAGCTGCCCTCCTGCCTGGGGGACTTTCAGTTTGAGGGAATGAATGCGCAGCTGAAAAAGTCTGAGCTTCGTTAGTTTCGATACCGAGGCATGCCGTGCCTGCCTGGCAGCATAAGCCATTTGTCCGAAGACATTTAGAATATAACTACTCATGGCTCAATCTGCTCCAGGAGCTTAGTTTATCTGGATGGGAAACAGGAAGTGCCACTCAAGTACCCCTACCGGCAGCAACCGACAGCGTGGCGTCAGATTGTGAGGATTGAGTACCATATCCCATAGCGTCTGAGCATGACTCAGAACAGCAGTGGGACGTCTGCATTCAGAGTCTCCCCCCCAGACAGCTAACCCCCCAAACGGCTGACAACAGTGGGACTTCTCCGCATTTCTGAGAAATTCTGGTAGCAGCTGCGCATGGACCACTATGGGGGCCATGAGGGCGAAGGCGCAATTTTTGGGCTCCTCTTGGGCTCCTCCTTGGGCTCCTCTTGGGAGCCCCCCGAATTTCTGATGCTGACTCAGGCCATCCTCCTCTTAGCCGCGCTGAGCCTTGCAAGGGCAGGGAAGAAAGGCAACGCGGGTTTAGGGTTTAGGGTTTAGGGTTCAGGGTTCAGGGTATAGGGTTTAGGGTTTCTCAAGCGAATTGCGCAAACGGGGTCGATTTTGGGCTGTGTGGCCAAGCAGCAAAGTTACTCCGCATGACTGCAATGTGTGGTATGGGCAACATGAGATGCGTGACCTGAGCATCGTTGGTATCAATCTCGCGCCGCCCTGCGCCAGTTTCGGTGAAGGAGGTGGTGTTCGATAGCGCTGTATCGGACATTCAGGCGCCCAGCGTAGCACATGGATAGATGTCAGAAGCTTGAGCACGCAACTTGACCACACCTCAAACTCTTTCCCGGATGCATGTGATAACATCACATGCACACTTTCGTTGCAGTGCTAAGCTGGTGTGGTCTGGCACTTTGTTCGTGACATCTACGAATTCCCTTTTTGTCACTGACGGTAGGCAGCCTTGTTGTCATTCAGCAAAGCGCGTTAGCAAGCCTTTCTTCCCCTTCCAGTGGCTGGGCGAAGACCAGAAGACGGTCATCACGCAGACCACCAAGGGGAGCCTTGCCAGTCTTTGTTGGAACATGGGGGTGATGAATGGAATGAGACAGAGAGAGAGAGAGAGAGAGAGAGATGAGCGAGAGGCCTCTTGGCGGTTCAGATTCAGAAGAAGAAGACGAAGAAGAAGAAGACGAAGAAGAAGAAGAAGAAGAAGAAGAAGAAGAAGAAGAAGAGGAGAGAGGTTGCAGTGGGCAGAAAGCCGCTGTTCTTTTTCGTTGCCGTTGCCGTCGCAGCCAGGCGTTTGTACCGGAGCACCAATGGCGGCGAGACTTGGAACGACATCACAGACTACTTCAAAGGCCATTGGGCGGGGAGCGAGGGTTTTGGGTTTGGATGATGTGGTTTGACCTGTTTATGTGTATCCAAGGTTAGTAAACGACTCAGAGCTCCTTTGACTTTCAGTGCCTTCCTTACCACGCTGTGCCGGTGCCGCCGTTCTCCGGAAAGCCAGAAGCCACGCATCAACGGACAATTCTGGAGGGGCAGTGGCAAAGGCGACAGCCTGCGGATTCTTTCGGCTCGTGCTGGGAAAGATACCAGGACCGCCCACGCGAGCCACACAAGTCGGAGGTCTTGTGTCCGCTCTGTTGCCAGCGGATGTCCGGCAGTGGCGGTGCCATACGTTGAGCTTGGATTTGTTGTGCAGTGCAGTGATGCTGCATGTTCTCTGAATTAGGGAGCGGGTTGATCATGATCCATCTAGTTTTGCAGGCTGATGCCCGGCTTTATAAGTTGGTTGTGTGAGGAACAGTCGCAAGTTGAAGGGAACTGTCACGGGCCTTCTTTCAGATGCTGTTGTAGTATGTTCAGACCGAATGGTTTAACGTAAGTTGAAGGTGATGTGACTCTTCGTGTACGGGCACTTCGGGGATCAAGTTCATGACGTACGGGTTCTGCGACCTTGCAACATAACTTAAGGGACACGATTATCATAGGGGGCCCCGTCCGGAGAACAGACAAAGTGTCATAGGCTCGTCATCACAGCGCCGGACGACCGGAGGGCGAACTAGATGCCCAAGTTCACGGAAACGAGTTGATGCCATTGAACCCAATATTCATCCACTCTTTGGCCAGTCGATGTCCCTGGATCGGCGCCGTGCGAAGCTTAGTTAGGCTGAGTTCACATTGATTCACGGCCCGGGCACCAGCATCATCCACTTGAGCAGAGGCAGCCATTCACAGCGGAATCGATGTCCAAGAGCCCTGCGGATCCCAACACCATTCTGGTGCTGCCCTGAATTGGGGGGTCTTGGACAGCTTCACGCCAGTGTGGCATCACATGTACATGTGAGGCATTCGCTCTGGAAGGGGTCTTGAAACGCGTTAAAGTCAAGCGTTAAAGTCAACCCTCACTATCGCCTGAGCTCCCCTTGCTGAGGTGTCAGGAAACAAAAAGACGAATTTCATTTCCAGCAACAGGCGCTGGGACAGCTGATGGCCCATGGGGTAGTCGACTAGCTAAGTGTTTGGGAGTTGTTACATGATGGTGGTAGTTTGCAAGTCAAGTGTGGGTTTAGCTGTAAACAGACTGCTGGCAGTCCACGAACCGAACATGGTTATCCTTCACTGGCTAGCAAGCCCATGACCCAAGTAGGGTGGTTAGGAAGTCTCGTAAGATCTCTGACGACCAGCATCTCACAACAAAGGCTCCCACCAATACCACCAAACCAGCAGCTGCCTATGCAACAGACACTAGAACACACATTGACATGCAACAGAAGTCAGCATGTTGCAAAGTTCCCACGCCGTTGATCTTCTCACCCGTTATGTTCGACTTGCTGTGCGCTTCTTCCAGCTTGGTTCTGCCCCTGTTCCTCTAAAACCCTAAAGCCTAAACCCTAAACCCCAAACCCTAAACTCCGGACTTTGTCATGACGTTTCGTAACCGCAAACTCCTTGGGCGTTTGGAATTCCTACTTCGGTTAGCACCGCACGGTTGCACCACAGTGGCTTTACCTTAGCACGTAGGTTGCACAGGGCATCATGCCCTCTCATGACCCTAAACCCTAAACCCTAAACCCTAAACCCTAAGCCCTGAACCCTAAACCCTAAACCCTAAACCCTAAACCCTAAACCCTAAAATGACCAGGGGCTCTTCTTGGAAAAAGATCCGGCAGCGGTCGCAGATTCACACAGCTACTTGGCAATGCGCGCTGTTTTGTGTTGATTTAGGGTTGGGTTTAGGGTCTAGGGTCTCGGGTCTAGGGTCTTGGGTTTAGGGTTTAGGGTTTAGGGTTTAGGGTTTAGGGTTTAGGGTTTAGGGATTTTCATCCCTTCATGAAGCGAGTGGATTCACGGGCAAAGTAGGTCTGTAGGGGCTAGTTTTTCGACATCACAGCGCTGTTTGAATCAGATGCCCGGCGGTGTTGATTCTAGCGAACTTCCCTGAACCCGAATGCCCTAAACCCACAGCCCCAATATCTTCAGAGCCAGGGCCAGAGTTTCCAGATGATACGTTGCAACTTCAAGTCGACATTGCCAGGTTATGTTCCACAAGACGTTCCGGCCTCAGCTGCAATGAGTCTCATGAGCAAAATGCTACTCTAATCCCTATAAACGTACATGGGCCACAAAGTATTCCGGATCATGAACTCGAACCTAGCTGCTCCGAAGAGTCCATGATGCACCTTGGTAGGCTGTAGCAACAGTTGCGGCGAGGCGCCCGACATGGATGCTGCTGTCGACCTGGACCAGCACATGCCACTTTGCGTGCTGAATGATGCAGCCTTTTGCGGCATGCTACTTGCGGTTGGTTGTGAAGTTGCCATGTGATGGCACATGGTTAGTACTTCTAAGCCGTCGTGCAGCAGACCATGTGATGTAGGGCCAGTACAGCGTCAGCAGCATGTCCAAAGTCACATCGAGGCAACAAGAAAGACAAAACTAGCGCCCCAGCGGAGGGCGAGGAGGACGGCGGTGGTGCCTTGGATCAGCTCAGACACGTAGCATGTACTTGGGGAGGTAGCCGCTTGCGCGGCTTGGTTGGTCAGATGAAATACAGAGACAGCAGGCATGCGCCCATGCACATGGGAAGGTCCATGCAACCACATGCTGTACCTCTCAAGAGACCTGGGCAAGACATTCAGTCTTGTGCATTCCTGGCTTGTTTTGGGTTGCACAGCGGCTACTCCCTTGTTCCAGCAGCATCGCAAGAACCACAAGCCTGAGAGGAGCCACGCCCACATGCATTTACGCTACATCTAGTTTGTGACATATCAGATGAGTAGAGAGGTCTCAAGTAAGCACGTTACATCGTCCCAGTGTGCGCCGCTGAGATTCAAACGCCGAGACCTCTGCACATCACGACACTCAGGATGATCCCGGTCAGTATATTTACGTCAAAACCCCCGGGAGACCTTGTAACTGCCAGCACTTTTGAGAGGTGAAGACAAGTTGTGCTTGGCTTTTTGTTTCGGATGGTGCGACAGCACGACAGGCAGAACTATGTGGTGCAGTTCAGCTGGGGAGATCCGTCCATGGGCCAACAGGCTCCTTTCTCCGAAGCCAAGAGAGACACGCAAATATGATAAGACAAGAAAATCAAAATATATAAGTATAAGAATAGAACAACATAAGCGTATAATATAATACAGCATAGTATAGTATAGTATAGCATAGTTAAATTTTCTATCGCATAAAATAGGAAAGTATACTATGATATAGTATAAAAAACACAATATCATATACTAAAATAAAATGAAATATAATATGAAATAGTAGACTATAATACAATACAATATCATATAATATAATTTAGTATACTGTAATACAATACATAATATAATATAGTACAATATTATATAGTATAGTATAATATAACACAATGAAATTTTAATATGTTATGATATAATGTAGTAGAACAATGAGCAGCTGAGCAGCAAGTGAAGAGTCGCCATTCAGCAGAGAGCGTGCGTGCACAGAGGTTGCAGATGCAGCAGCCCGTGCTCGAAGGACAGGATCTACTTCACGCACTTTAGGAAGAAGACCGGTGACCAGCCCAAACTGTACATATGGGCTTGGCACCTGGCAAGATGAACAAGTCGGTGCTCGGTCTTCGCGACCTGCGAAGTGCTGACATGTACTGACAGTAGATATGGGGGTTTACGAAAATAGGGGACCCCAAAGTAGACACACACAAATATAGGATTCCCTTATAATCAGGACCCCAATCAGGTACCCCTAATTTCATTTCGGAAACCCCCACATTCAATCATGCCTTGTGTGAAGTTTTCCCAATTCTGCAATGCGTGGCCCAGTCCAGTGACGTGGATTTCGCGTACATGGAGGCAGAGGGCAGAAGGCAGGAGCCACCGTGAAGCAAACATCGTCCGTCGTCCGACTAAGTCCCAACCACCGCCAGGTCAACCACCATGGTTCCCATGGGCAACAAGCGCTGACCCTGATTGGATCCATCAAGATGCAGCAGCGCAGGATTAAACGGGCTGCTTTGGACAGTTGATGCTGCTTGTCTCAGGTTTTTGGTGTCCCACAAGTTCATCTTCGTAGCCAAAGTGCAGCACCCAGTGCATGGCGTTCGTTGGGCCTTGTCACGGCCTTGTCCAGTTCCCGGTGGCTTCCCCCCCATGCAAGATGCAGCGAATCCTGCACGTCCGAGGTGAAGGACGTGACATCCCAGACTGTGAATCTCATGGTCTCGGCAGACGGCGGTCGTTCCTTCAATGCTGCGCAGGCGGCGACGTTGCCCATGTGCAGCTTTTGTCACGGTAGGGGGGCGCCTTCAATGGTGGCTTTGTATCTTGTCGAGCCCCTCTGATATGACGTGACTTGATGCTGGACGCATCCATCCCCTCTGCAGTTGCCCACGGAAATTGACGAGAAGTCGTACACAGCGGCTGGCACTGCAAGTAGATTCCATTCAGATCGGAGTCGTTGGCGGACCTCAGGTTACCCTGAATTTGGAGAGGTGCGTATTCTCAAATCGGTACCCTGTGAGCCAAGCTGTCAGTCTGAGGTTTTGGACACTTCTGAGGGTCTGGTCATGCTGCACGTGAACCACGGCGCCAAGGAGGTGCATTTACGCCTGCAGTCTTGAAGCTCCGTGCGTGGAACTCCTTTAGCATGAAGTTCTGAACAAACTCACACCCCAGTTGCAAGTAATTATGATTGATTCCGAAACAGTGCTTTCACCTGCCACACATACTTGACATACTGGTTACAATGCCTTTGCCTGCAGAATCAAGTGGGAAACGTGTACATTTCAGATGAGAAGGGCCCCTGTCTCAGCTCCATTCGGTCGACGCGATGTTTCTCGAACTGGCAGATGACTTGCAAGGCCAGAGGTCACCGGAGCCCTCAGAGCCCTAAGCCCGAAGCCCTAGACCCCAAACCCTAAATCCTAAACCCTAAGCCCTGAGCCCTAAACCCTAAGCCCTAAGCCCTAAACCCGAAACCCTAAACCCTAAACCCTAAACCCTAAACCCTAAACCCTAAACCCTAAACCCTAACCCTAAACCCTAACCCCTAAACCCTAAACCCTAAACCCTAAACCCTAAACCCTAAACCCTAAACCCTAAACCCTAAACCCTAAACCCTAAACCCTAAACCCTAAACCCCCGTGCGGGCTCAGGCTTCCGCTTCACACTGTCTCTCCCAAATAATGTTCGTGGTTCCAACGGCGACTGCGAGTTCGACAAGGCGCGCGGCTTCGGGTTTAGGGGTGTAGGGGTTTAGGGGTTTAGGGGTTTAGGGGTTCTAGGGCTTTAGGGGTTAAGGGGTTTAAAGGGTTTAGGGGTTTAGAGGTTTAGGGGTTTAGTGGTTTAGGGGTTTAGGGGTTTAGGGGTTTAGAGTGTAAAGTGAGACCTGCCGCTAAGCTACCCCCCAGGCGTGAGCTTTGATGAATGAAGCGTGCATATACATACCATATTAAGCTCTACAAGCAGCTTCAGCATCAACAAATGAAAAAGCAGCTGTCTAAGCAGCCAAATGCATCCGTTCACATCAGTGTGTCTATACAGATAGATCAGTACATGAGCATACATGGATGTCACATACGCACACGTGAACATATCTATCTTCAATCCGTATACCCATCTATATGTGTACATGTCGTTCTTTTGGGAGAGACCGTTGGTGGGTGTGCCTTGGTTGCCCTGAACTTGAAGGTGTTGAGCTTGGAGGGCGTGTACATGGCCAACTTCAAGGAGCATCTGGGAGCATGGCCTTCACGGCAGAGAAGCCCTGGACCCCTAAGTCCCGAGGCCCCTAAAACCCCGAAGCCTCGAACCCCTTAAGACCCCTAAGCACCTTAAACCCCCTAAGCCGCCCTAAACCCCCTAAGCACCCCTGAATCCCCGAAGCCCCCCTAAACCCCCTAGACCCCCAAAACCCCAAGCCCCCAAAACCCCAAGCCCTAAAAACCCTAAGCCCTAAACACCCTAACCCTAAAACCCTGAACCCTAAACACCCTAAAAGCCCCCAACACCCTTAAAAGGACATCCCGAAGTCTGGGGGGGACTCCGCGTCCGGCGCGGCTGACAAAGCCAAGGCAAACTTCTCCCGGGTTTTGGATTTAGGGTTTAGGGATTAGGGTTTAGGGTTTAGGGGTTTAGGGGTTTAGGGGTTTAGGGGTTTAGGGGTTTAGGGGTTTAGGGGTTTAGGGGTTTAGGGGTTTAGGGGTTTAGGGGTTTAGGGGTTTAGGGGTTTAGGGGTTTAGGGGTGTAGGGGTTTAGGGTTTAGGGTTTAGGGTTT